GGCCCAAGGCCCAAGGCCCAAGGCCCGAACCCTAAACCCCAAACCCCAAACCTAAACCCCGAATCCCAAACCCTAAACCCCAAACCAATATTGAGGTGCAAGGACGGCTTCCGAGCTGTGGCTTGGTCTCCGGACTGCTCGCGCGTGGTCGCAGGGCGGCCCAGTGGGGTCCATGTGGCATTGAACATCCTGGGCTCCAACTTAGGGTGGGTTCGGGTTTAGGGTTGGTGGGCCCATCCAAGTAATTGGGTTGATTTTTGTGTTCTTAAGTTATTGCTTAAACGCATGTCTGGGCCTTTCCAGGATGCAAACCCGCTTCAAGGTCATGACTCGAAACAGCCCCAAGCCCCAAGCCAACTCTATCGGTCACGAGGTTCCCAGGTATCTGGGGAGCTTATGACAGAAAGTAGTATGAAAAACCTGGTGTCGACCATGTCCTTTGATCATATCCTGCCAGTCCCGGGCGGCGGAGGTGGGCACACGGTGTTTTTGTTTGGTTCTTTTCCTTTAGGCGTGCACTTCACACTGGTTGCTCCCCAAAAAGTGGCACCCTAAACAAAGCAAGGTGTACGAGGCTACCAAGCAGAAATCTATAGCTTCATATTATCTAGGGCTCTTGCTGGGGCTCCCTATCTAGAGCCCTCTACAGCCTAGAGGGCTTGATGCCTGGAAGCCATGAGCCGCCCCCACCAGAATCCTGAGGCCGCCGGCCTGGACAACGAAGCTCGGGTGCCCCCGGGCGATGTTTGAGCTAGGGGACTGGGTCTGTGGATTTCAGGCAATTTCGGGTCAGACGACCTGTGCCCCTCACATCCCCCCCCCCCCCCCCCCTAGAAGCCTCGAAGCCTGAACCCTGCATCCCTGCAACCCTAAACCCAAAACCCTCCTCCTGGCAGGTGTACCTGCTTTCTGGCACCGAGTACCGGCAGTGGGAGGCAAGTGTCGGGGCTCTAGGGCTTTGGGCTTCGGCTTGACCTCTTAAAAAAAACCTTCACCCTAAACCCTGTAGGCATTTCTCGGCCTCCGTGGACAAGGGAGTTGAAGAGCAGGGTGTGATGTCAATTTAAGCTAAGCATGGGCACCAGTATCGCGCAGGAACTTTCAAGATAAGCAAGCTCAACCTGGGGCAAGCTTGTGCCTTTCCTGGTGTTCCTGTTATCATACGGCTCCTCATATCTTCCATTTGCTAAAGAACCGCAAAAAAGTAAGGAGCATTTTTTTTGGGTGGCTCTCAAGCAAATAGTAGATATTTGGGTACATCTAGTGGAGACCCCCTGAACGCTAAACCCTGAACCCTAAACAGAAGCCGCCACCATGTCCAGGCGCCGACTTTGCTCAAGGGTCACTCGGGCGTTGTGCGGGCGGTCGCCTGGTCTCCCTGCGGACGCAAAGTCGGGCCCCCAGAGCTTCGAGGCGTTTCGAATTTATAGGGTTTTGGGTTCCCTGACGCCCCAGAGCTCTAAAGTGCCCTTTCAGGTCCTGACGGGCGGTGACGACAAGACTGCCCGCATCTGGAAGGCATCGCACGTCCTTTCGGACTTAATTTGGGTTTTGAGGGGTTTAAATCCCATCTCCTCTTGAAGCTGCATTGCTTGAACGCCCCTCAACCACAACTCCTGACCTGTGGGGTCCCAGAATGAAGGGTCCCTCCTTGAGTCCCTTAGACGAGAGGCTTCAAGATCAGATCCCAAGTGCTGGGAGCAGTTCTCGGAGCTGTACAAGCACTCGGATTCGGTGCGCAGCTCAGAGCTGGTCCGGGTTGTGCCTTGGGACCCCCCAGCCCTGGACCGCCGCAGTAAACCAGGTAGAAGAATATGCAGTGTAATCTACCAGGTTAGCGGTTCTGCATGAATGATACGGCGCCCTATAGCGTTAGAGGATGCAGATAAATACACAGTAGCACAAGATACGTACCATCTGTTGGTTAGCCCAATCGAGTTTAATCGACCGTGCCCAACACCGTAAGAGGGTTTATAGGGCTTGTAGGGCTTATAGGGTTTATAGGGAGGGCTGAAGAGGCTTTAGGGTTTGTCGGGGTTGGGGTTTGAGGGTTGAGAGTCCCTTCCAGGTTCGAGCCGTGGCCTGGTGCCCGAATGCTGACAAGGCCACGCGCAAACCCCAAACCCCAAACCCCTTTGGGTGATCCCGCAACTCTAGGCCCTAGACGCTGGACCCTCAACCCTCAACCCTGAAACCCTAAACTTAAACAAACCCTAAACCCGAAACCCCAACAAAACCGACTACGTAGTTCCCCCAAAACCCTGAAACCCCAAACTCTGTGAAGATCCTCTGCCCCGGGGGTTTTGCGAGGGGCGAGGGGCCCGGGGAGGCGACGATTGCCACGGGCTCGGAGGACTCCACCATCTACATCTGGCAGCCAGTGGCTGGGCTGGGGTTTAGGGTTCAGGGTTTAGGGTGTAGGGCTTAGGGAATAGGTGTTATGGGGTTTCGGGCTTATGGCTCAGGCTTTGGGGTTTAGTGTTTGTCCAGTGTTTAGGGGTCCAGGGGCTAGTGCTTAGGTTTTGTCGGATCAGCTGGCAGCCGGTGGCTGGACCATTTCATTGGAAAAGGTTTCCGGTTTGTAGGTTAGGTACTCTTTTTGTTTTCCGGACTTTGGAGTCTGAGGTTTTGAGGTTTGAGACCGCCTGGACGTCTAGACCCCTTAGCCAATAGAGCCACCAAGGAGAAGGGACCGGGAGGAGACCGACGCAAGTTTGAGGCTGGTCTGGGTCCGGATTTGGGGGGGGGAAGGGAGGGGGGGGGAGTGAGGGGTTGGGGTTTAGGGTTTAGGGTTTGGGGTTTATAGGGTTTATAGGGGTTTATAGGGTTTATAGGGTTTATAGGGTGTTTAGGGTTTAGGGTTTAGGGTTTATAGGGTTTATAGGGTTTATAGGGTTTATAGGGTTTATAGGGTTTATAGGGTTTAGGGTTTAGGGTATAGGGTTTAGGGTTTAGGGGGACCCCATCTTTCAAGAACGAACTTCCTGCAACAGCGCCGCCCAACTGCCAGCAATTCATGCACGCAGGACGCAGGATAGGTGGTTACGCACGCGGCTAGAAAGTAGGAAAAAACCCACCAGACACTTCTACCCCAAAAAGCCTTAATTAAACCAAAAAGCCCTCAACCCAAGACAGCGCTCTCAAGTGATGGATTGCAGGTCGTCGCTGCCCTGTCCGAACACTCAGGGGGCATACGGCGTGGCCCTTGGAGCTTCCTTGCAGATCGCACTGTCAGACCCCAAACCCCGCAAAACCCTATAGGCTCCATAAACCATACAAACCCTATATTACACCCTGTAAAGCCTAGAAGCCGTATAAACCCATATATGGCTCTGAAACCACTTAAACCATGAGGGCCCTGGCGTGGACGAGCGATGGCAGCCACTTTGCAAGCGGTGGCCGGCGGCTGAGTCAGTTGAGGGCTTTGGGGCACAGGCTCGCAGAGTCAATGCTGATGCAGTTTGGGAACCAGACCCGAAACAAATGAACCCCTAAACCTCTAGACCCGAAACCTCTATGAACCTCTAGACCCTAAACCCCTAAACCTCTAGACGCGAAACCCCTAAATCTCTAGACCCTAAATCCCTAAACCCCTAGACCCTCGACCTCAAACCCTAACGCAGGTAAAGATGCCACCGTGCGCGTATGGCAGTGCGCCCACAACGATGGCCGGAGCTGGCCGGAGCCGTCAACACTGAAGTGCGAGCCTGAAGCATCCTCGGGCCGAAACTCAGGTTTAGGGTTTAGTATAGGCTTGAGGTATAGGTGTGGGGTTCAGGGCTTCGGGTTTACATGGTTCAAGAGCCCCGCGCAGGAGCCACAACAATTAACATCTTTTTCTCCCCTTAGTGCATTCCTTATCAGAACTACACCACAAAGCTACCCCAGGTTCGCGTTCTGCTTGGGTAGGCTTCGGGTGTAGGTGTTCAGGGTGAGGGGATTGGGCCTTTAGTTAGTACGAGTTGAGAGATTCGCATGAAGACGGACGGGAGTGATGTGAGGTCGACAGGGCTTCCACTTAAACGCTGGAAGGCGTCGCCTGAAGGAACTCCTAAGCCCTGAACCCTGGTTTAGGGTAGGGTTTTGGGGAAAGGTTGTGTCTGCCCTATTGGAAAGAGGATCTTATTGAGGAACATTGTTTCAAAGGTGTTTAACAGCCAGCCGTATGATGCAGACAAGGAACCTAATGGGGGCTCTCCTGTAAGAATGCCAAGGCTCGTAAGGCAACCCTAAACCCCTAGAGCCCCTGAACCCCTGAAACCCCTAAAGTCAATAAACCCCCAATCCCCTAAAACCGCTGTACCCCTTGAAGCCCCTAAAACCCACTCCTAAAGCCCTCCCTCAAATCGCTTCAACAGAGTGCCGAGGATGGGCAACGCAGCCGGTATCAAGGCTCTCGCCTGGTCGCCGGACGGAACCCGGTTCGGAGCTCAGGCTTTAGGGCTTGAGGTTTGGGGTTTAGCATTTAGTTTAGGGTTTGGGGTTAAAGTTTAGGGTTTGGGGGCTTGGGGATGTTTGGGTTCAGAGATATTGAATTTTGGGTTTGTGGTTGAGTGGATCCTTGGTGTTTTTTTGGGGGGGTTCAGGGTTTAGGGTTTAAGGCTTGGGGGAAGCTTGGAGAGCTCATGGGCATCAGGGGGTCAAAAAAGGATTGTTCAAGGGTTTTTAGGGTTCAGCGCTTCAGGGTTTAGGGTTTTTTTTCGGGTTTATGGGGTCAGTGCATGGGGCTTGGGAACTGACGCCTCGCTCAGGATAGCCACAGGTGGCGTCTGCGCCTCAGCAAGTGGCGCAGTTGCTTTGCAACGCCGTGCCCATCTGCCTCACATTGCTTCACCGAGGCGGATGCCGTGGTCAGAGTCGTGGCCTCTGTGCACGCGACGCGTCCAGCTTGTATAAGCCGCAAGCAGCACTGCTTGATATTGCTTGGTCATGTTATGCCACACTGTGCACCGGAGGTGTGTTCAAACCTAGATCATCCGAGCTGGGGCCCGCCAAGCGCCATGGCGCTCCAGCTGCGGGCCGCGGCGCCGCGGCCGCGGCTTGCGGTCAGGGCCACCCCGGCCGTGTCCACAGGCCGAGCTCAGCCCCTGGAGTTCCCGTCCCGCCTTGGGGCCGTTGGAGCCGTGGTGCTTGGCACTGCTCTGGGCGCTTTCGGGCAGTACCGAGCTCGTCTGGCCCGGACACGGGTCTGTAGATATGCCAGGCCGAAGAGGTCGGGGGCCCCCTTGAAGCGATTTCATTACTTGCACAATGTGTGTGTGTGTGTGTGTACTTTCATATCTGTCTATCTATCTATCCAACTATCTATTTATGTATCCCTCGATTACTCCACGCATCTATATGTTGCTTCGTGCAGCCAGGCAAGTGCGCGAGCATGAGCCTCACGTGTAGTATCCTACACATACATTCACATTGCCTAGGCGCGAGCCTTCTGCGCGAAGCGATATATCCGATACATGGTTTTCCATATGTACGTAAGATACACACCTGAAACCAGGATACGCGCAAGTGAGTAAACACGGTGCCCCTGAGAGGCAGAAGAAGAAGCAGCAAGAGGAGGTCGAGCTCGAGCTAGAAGACCTGATCATGCCAGCTGAGGGCATGACCGTGGGTGAACTCGCCGAGAAGTGCTCCTGCACAAGAAGCATCGTAAGCTTCGATAAGCTTCGGAACTGTTTTGAGGTTTCGGGCAGTTCAGGTGACACCTTGCTATTAAGTTGCCAAGGATCCGAAAGCCTGTTGCGCAGATCATCACCTACTTCTTCGCGGAGAAGGGGAAGCCGCTAGCCATCAATGACTTCCTTGAGAAGGAGCTCGTTGCAGAGGTCTGCGACAAGTATGAGTTGGAGTACCTCTTCGACGATGAGAAGACCACCACGGCTGGAGACAGAGGATTCCTCGCGGAAGAGCACAAGGGAGAGGCAGAGTCCCGGCCCCCTGTGGTTACTGTCATGGGCCACGTGGACCACGGGAAGACCACCCTGCTCGACACCCTGCGAAAGCGGAGCGTGGCCGCCTCGGAGGCCGGCGGCATCACCCAGCGGATCGGAGCCTACACAGCGGCTGGGCCAGAACTGTCTGCAAACATGTGGCAGTAATGCTGCATGCCTCAAGAATGCATAAAAAACAAGTAATTAAGCGGGATGTCCCGTGGATCTTTTTCCATTTACAAAGACATGGCAGCCGGGAATTTGCAGCGTGCGCCCCCTGTGATGTCAATCAAAAGAGTCTAAGAGGTGGAGCTGGATGGCCAGAAGATCACCTTTATCGACACGCCCGGTCATGAGGCGTTCACGGCCATGCGTGCGAGAGGGGCGCAGGTGACCGACATCGCCGTCCTGGTGGTTGCTGCGGACGATGGCGTCATGCCTCAGACGCGCGAAGCGATAGCTCACGCACGTGCGGCCGAGGTGCCCATCATCGTCGCTGGGATGTGGGGTAGTTTTTTTGAGAGTAAAATAACATCACAATATGGTTTTAATCCAATTAAGGTACTTTTCCTCTTGTCTGGGTAACTTAAAGGCAAGGCCCCATGCACTACAAAAGATTCCCTACTTTGGCGGCTTAAAGAAGCGCACCCTTTTGTTTGGGCTTCTTACAAGGTTCTTGAGGGAGGGGGTGTCAAGGGGGGGTATGTAACCCAAGGTTCCCTAGTACTCCCCACTACTCCCTAAGGCTCGCTAGGCTTCCCTAAGGTTCCCTGAGCCCTTAAGGACCCTATAAGATTCTCATCCTGACTCCAAGGTAGCGATCAACAAGATCGACAAAGATGGCGCAGACCCTCAGATGACGAGGCAGAGCGCATGCATGCAACCCGAACTGCCTAAACCCTACGCGAAGCCCTGAATCTTTACGCCTGCATCAATGAAGCGCTGAAGTCCCCAAGCCCCTGAACCATAAACCCTGAACCCTCGAACCCCGAAACTGCGAAAGCCGTAGAAGCTCGTCTGTCCCAGAGTGTGGTGCTCATTTTCTAGTTGGCTTCTTTATCTTAAACACGAAGCATTGCCATCATCATCTTGATGATCTGTTTTATGACTTCCACGATCACCATCATGACTGCCACGGTTGTCTTTAGGCCTGTTACAACCATACCCCAAACCCTATGCCAAACCCTAAACCCCAAACCCCAAACCCTAACGCCCGGGGTTCTGATCTCAGAACTAGGCAAAGCCTCTCAGAAGAGGGGGTCCTGGCCGACGACTGGGGCGGCGACATACCTATGGTCGAGGCTGGGGAGCTCAGGGTTTAGGGTTTAGGGTTCGGGGTTTGGGATTCAGGGGTTTGGGGACCCAACACAGCCCGAATACCAAAATTGCAGAGGCCAAAACCATTCAGAAACATTCTGGAAAGTCCGAAGTCCTCCGAAGTCGGCTTGATCTTAGAGTAGTTACATGGTCCCTTAGTATGGGCCCTTAAATGGGTGCCCCTTAGACACCCCCTGCATGCCCTATACAACCCAAGGGCCCATACTTCAGAGCCATTTAAAGGAGGTAAGGGGCCATTATACGGAATCATGTAACTACCCTAAGACCTGAGCTCCGTAATGTGTGTCAGGTCAGTGCCAAGCAGAACATCAACCTAGACGGGCTGCTTGAGATCCTGAACCTCACGGCGGAGATGTCAGAGCTCAAGGCTGTGAGGGAGGACGGCCGAGGTAGGAAGACCATTCTCTCCTCACTGCATTGTTCCCAACCAGCGCCCCTAAACCCTATCCCTAAAACGAAGTTTTGAGGACGATGCGGCGGGCATCGTCTTAGAGTCGACGTTCGACACTACAAAGGGCTGCTTGGCGACCCTTCTGGTGCAGCGCGGCACGCTGAAGAAGGCCACTTTTGCAGGTTCAAGGTGCTTATGCCTCGAATTTCGGGTTTAGGGTCGAGGGTTTAGGGTAAGGAACAGGGTTCAAGGTATTAGGGTAACCCGAGTTACAAATGAACTTATAACCTACTTAGAGGGGACTTTGGGAGCTTATAAGTACAGGCATAGTTGGGGTTATCAGTAGCCATGAACCTCCAAGCAAGGTTCAGGGTTTAAGGCTGTGGGCTTTTGGGGGGCTTCTTGGTTAATATTGGGGAGAGTTAGGTCTTGAAGCCCACACCCTCAACTCAAGGCAACCCTAAGCCGTCAACACTAAACCCGAAACCCTACGGCCCTAAACCCTAGCCCTAAACCCTAAACCCTAAACCCCATTTCCCCCCCCCCCCCCCCCCCCCAAAAGAAGAGAAAAAAGAAAAGTGACTCCCGCGATGATGAGAGAAGGGCGACTGGGCCGTGGCGGGCTGCAACGTCTGCCGCGTTCGGCTTATGCAGACCTTCGGGCCTTCTTTTGAGAGCGCTGTCCATTTTTGCATGGTAGGGTTCAGGGTTTAGGGCTTAGGGCTTCTATTCGGGCATAGGGCTTAGGGCCTAGGGCCTAGGGCTTAGTTTAGGGTTTAGGGTGGGAGTTGGGTTTTAGGCCCTCAACCCCTGACAGTCAGTTGTAATAAGGGTGTTAGGATCAGCTCAGGGTACTAACCCTAAGCCCGAAGTCCCTTCCGGAGCCTAGAGTCCCAGGAATGATGCGGGTGGCGAGGTGCTGGAAGCTTCCCCCTCCACGGCAGTGCAGGTAACTGGCTTCCAGGCACCCGCCACCGTCGGTTTTTTTTGCGTTTCTTGAGGGGGTTTGAGGGTTGTAATTAGGGGGTTTGGAGGGGTTCCCAGGTTGTGAGTTTTGTTGAGGGTATTTGGGGGCGTTAGGGTGGAGGTTCATGGAATCCAATGAGGCCTTAATACCTGCTAAACCTTTCGCCCTACGGCCCTTGGATCCCTCAATCGTAGGACCCAAACCCCTAGGACACACTTATGCCTTCTGTTGAAGGTCCCAAGAAGCAAAGAGGGTCAGCCTTTTTGCAATCCCAGGAGTCCATGAGCCTTGAAAGGCGGTCTATGGCTTAGGGTTTAGGGTTGCAAGCCTACAAGAGCAGGTCTCTAAATTAGGGTCCCCTTTCGGGCCCCTGATATTGTACGGCACCCTCGAATACGGACCCCAAAAGGGACCCTAAACCAGAAGCCCTAAATTCGAGTTTAGAGGACTGCCCAACAGACCTAGGATGCGCCCACGGCCGGAGACCAATTCGAGGTCTACAAAACAGCCCAGGAGTGTTTGGCTTTGGTTTCCTAAGTTTGGTTTTAAGGTTTCGGGGGCGGAGGGAGGAGGGGTTTTCAACATCACGGACCTGTTTTGGGTGGTCTGGGTTCAGGGTTTAGGGTTCCCTGAACCTCAAGCCCTAAACCCCAAACCCCCCTAAACCTTAAACCCTAAACCAAAACCCTGGGGCTCATAAACTTCGGTCCCCAGGGGGTCTACGGCTTAGCGTTTAGGGCTTAGTGTTTAGGGTTTAGGCTTTCCACCGCTTATCGTCTCCAGGAGGCACGCGCCGTGGCCGACAAGCGGGAGTGGCTAAGCTAGCCTTGATCATCTTCCTTTGCTTCTTCGTCTTTGTGTTGTGAGACCGACCGAAGCCTTAGCACAAAGCCCCTCAGCCCTGCAACTTAAATTGCTTGCACTAGCCTTCTCTTTATGTACTGTGCACCAGATCAGCCCCCAATCTTCGTAGCCTTAAAGCCTCTCCTCAGCCTCTCACCTTATGCTCCCTAAACCCTCAAAGCCTTTCTCAACCCTCAACTCACCCGCAGGCGCGAGATGTCGCGAGGTCCGGTGGGCTTCGCGGGACTGGGCTCCGACAGCGAGCAGACCATGAAACTTGCCCTGATCCTGAAGACCGACGCGCAGGGGAGCATCGCGGCCGCGGCCTGCATGGAAGTTATAGGGTTTTGGAGCCCACTCACTCAAGCAGCCCCCCCACCCCCCCTACTTTATCCCTGTATTCGAATGGGTTCGGTGGCCAGCCAAGGTGAAGCACATGTTCTCCGAGGTCAAGGATTCGAAGTACGTGAACCTGAGGTGGGTGCTGGCGGCCCCGGGGCCGATCACGGACTCGGACATCGAGCTCGCGTCCACGTGCCCACAAGGGCCGCTTGGTCGCGCAGTGTGGTGCCCTTCTGCCGGTTTTGGGTTTCGATTAGCAGAATAAGCCGTACCCCTAAACCCTGAACCCTCAAGCTGTGTATCCTTATTGGCTACTGGAAGGCAGAAGGTCATGGTCCTGGGCTTCAACACCAACGTCTCCCCCACTGCGGAGAGGTGGGCGACCCTCAACACTAAACCCCCCCTCCAACAGCCCTAAGCCAGGCAACACCAAGGGCACCCAACACCACAAAGCCCTAGAGCCCAAGCAGCCGAAAGACTGGACACCCCCCCCCTCCCCCAACAGGACTGCCAAGGAGCGGGGTGTGATGATTCAGAACTTCAATGTCATCTACGAGCTCTTCGACACCCGGCGCCGGCTTAGACTCCAAAATCCCCAAAACCATCAGAGGTTACTTGGGGGGGGGGTTCGTGGGACCAGGCATGCACGGCCTGAAGGAGGGTGGCTTTAGTTTAGGGTTTCGGTCTTACTGTGTTTAGGGGCCTAGGCTTGGATCTTTATGCAGGTTGCGAGGCGAAGGAGTTCAGCGACTACCGCACCCCCAAGCCCCTAATTAACCCTAAGCCCTAAACCCTAAATCCTAAACCCTAAACCCTTCAGGACACCGTGGTCGCCGCTTTGGAGGGCGAGCTCACCCAGGAGGAGACAGTCTGCTCTGGTGTTTAGTGTTTAGGGTTTAGGGTTTAGGGTTTAGGGCAGAAGGTTGAGGTTTTTGGGGCTTTTGGCTTCAGGGTTTTATAGGGCTATTTTGGGCACTTTCTCTTTAGGGCTTGGGGATGCGGGCTCTAAACCCGAAACTCTCTTGACCCTAAACAAGGAGAAGCTGGTGGAGAAGGGTTCCGCCCTCGTGAAGGCGATCTTCAAAGGGAGGGACGGGGCGGTGGCCGGGTCGGAGATCATCGAAGGCATGTTCACTGTTGGGAACCGGGTTCATGCCTTCCGCAACGGCAGGAGCCAGGGGCAGGCTTTCAGTAGAGCTTTTGAGGATGGACACATATTTTGGGGCCACCCTTTCTTTCTTCGGATATTCTACTGGTAATTACGTATGTAACGTCTGCTCCTTATGGTTTAGGGCAGCAAAGCAGGGTTGATTCGGAAAAACGCGTAGCGAGACCTCGTAAGCGCACGTGGTTTTGGGCTCCTAAGCGCGGTGACCGTGAAAGCAGATGGGTGCAATCTCTGAAAGGAGATGTGGCATGGCAAGAACCCTCAACCAACCCTAAACCTTAAGCCCTAAGCCCTAAACCCTAAACCCTAAACCCTAAACCCTAAACCCTAAACCCTAAACCTAAACCCGAACCGTAAACCCTAAACCCCAACCCCTGGCAAGCCCTAAAAATTGAATTGCGATCTTGGAGACCGGAGACCCATTGGAGACCCCTTTAGAGGCATCCAGTTGTGAGCTGGTGGAGACAGGCAAGGACAGGCAAGGGCCCCGGAGACCCCAGCTTAGAGGCACCGCGCTGAACCTCATAGCTGACACTTGGGTTTAGGGTTTAAAGTTTAAGCTTTAGGATTTTGGGCGGTCTTGTGTTATGAGGCGCAACTTTTGTGCCTTTGTGGTCGTTGGAGTCAGCCAAGGAAGATGGGCGAGGGCACCATTGGTTCCATACGTCGTTTCAAGGAGCAGGTGAAGGAGATCGACGACGCTGGCTTTGAACATGCCATGACTGGGATTCGGAGCATCAGGTGTTCATGTCGCTGCATTCTAAAGGGAGCCCTTGTAACGCCTCACACGCAGAATAATGTGTGGTGCTCTCAGTAGTGGGGGCTTGATTGAACCATTCCATGGATTCCGCACGTACCTTTTCAACAACCCTAAACCCTGAACCCCGAACCCAAATTCAAGGAAGGCAACGAGTGCGGCTTGTCGATCACTGGCTTCGAGGACTGGCAGGAGGGCGACGAGATACGCTGCTTCGAGGTCAAGATGGTGTCGCCCGAGCTGGTCTCGAAGAAGTGAAAGAGTAAGGTTTAAAGGTTTATGGCTCAGGATAATAAGGGTTCATGAAATCAGGGCTTGTAGTGGAATTAAGTACTTGGAGGTGCAGGGATGAGAAGAAGGGCCGGCTCAGTTGTAGGTCCAGGTTGTTAGACTAACAATTTTCGTTGAACCTCCAAGGGTACATCCAGCTTTCTGTTTCACCTCCCAAGCTTCGGCGAGTTTTAAACCAACTCCCGCCCCAATTAAAGAGCACAGCTTGCAAGTCCAGTCTCCCTAAACTCCCTAGACCTAGACCCCAACCCCTACACCCCAAACCCAAACCCCGAACTCCAAACCCTAAACCCTCTGGAACCCAGATCGCGGTATGGGCTCCGGGGCGCACTTCACAGTTTTCTCCGCGCCAGCGAGTCACCAGTGTCGGCATTCTGCGGCGAGCATCAGGTAAATGTGTGCTCCGAACCCTGACTCTAGACCCTACAGTAAACTCCTAAACCCGAAACTCCCAAAAAGCCTAAACTCCTAAACTCCCAAACCCTAAGCCTAAAACCCAAGCTCCTAAACACTCTGCTCCAAAACCCTAAAGCCTTTAAACCCTAAACCCTAAAACCCCAGACCCTAAACCCCTAACTCCAAAACCAGCCCTCAACAACTTGGGGCCCGACACCCGAAGCCCCCACGTCCTCAGCGTCTCCTTGTCTTCTGCCCGAAGGGCCCGAAGCTCAGAACCCTAAATCAGGGTTTCAGGGGTTATGGTTTAGGATCTATAGGCCCCAAAAGTGACCCACCCAAGACCACCCTGCTCGGTTGAGACTCCTCGTTCTGGTTTGCCGGCCTGGTCTCGGAGTAGTAGTGTGCCCCGAAACCCGAAAACCCGAAAGACTGCGGACCCTTGGCGAAACGGGTTTCACGATTAGGGTTCCCTTCTCTTGGATCTTGGGGTTTGAGGTGTAGGGTTTAGGGTTCCCATAGGAACTGCTGCAGCAATTGAAGCCACAAAGAGTGCTGTACCCCCTCACCCCCTCAGATCTGAATCCTCAACACTTGAGCCTCCTCAGACCCTGAATCCCAAATTCCCCAAACCCTCACGACACTTTCAGCTGCATGAACCAGAAGCCTAACCCCAAAAAAACCAAAACCCCAAAACCCTAAAACCTAACCCCCGAGAGCCTAAACCCTAAAACACCCTAAAAAACTCATCAACTCCCTTACTACCATGAACCGCCAAGAATAACAGATAATAATCGCTATATGGCCCTTATAAGGAAGACTATTGTTTTAGGGGTTCTCAAAGCAATCAGTAGCTTAAGCCGTAAACATGCCCCAAGCACAAGCCAAAAGGTGTGGCTGTGGAGGCAGGGCTCCGCAAGACCCGCCGTGGAACTGGCAGGTCGCGCTTCTGGGGGGGTTTAGGGCCTTCTGGGGGGTTCTGAAGTTCTGAAGGGGCGGCTGAGCCGCTAAGACCTAAACCCTCAGCTCCAGAACCCTCCAGTTGAGGGGTTTGGGGGTTGTCGGTCTTAGGGCTCAAGCCCAGCACCGCAAGGTTAAACCCGCCCACTTAAATTGAAAACCCGAATGCCGGGGTTTCAGATATGGCACATTAGTTGGGTCAAGTCTTATGGCGCCCATCCCAAACCACCCAGTGTGGGGGGGAGTTGGGGGGTCGAACCTACGGTGTTGCGCCTTCCGGCACAGTGGAGACTCCGCAAAAGGGATAGAGTCCCCTACCCATCCCGAAAATAATCACGCAAATTGCAATCTACAGGACCCGAAGTAGCTCTTCTAAATGTCTTTCCCGTATTAGGAGGTCTTCAGGGTTTTAAGTGGGTTTTACGTTGTCGATTGTGGGGGCAGCTTTGGCGATTGCGGTTCTGGTGTACTTGCTGCCCTGACCCTGAGCCTCGTGCGAAGGTCATTCTGCACCTATCCGCTCACTTTGCTGGTCTCCAGACGGAGCCCAGCTGCTCATCGGAAGTGCAGACAGGACAGCATTTCCCAGCATTTTGTTTGCTCCGTGATTGTGCATGCAAGCTCCAGCTGGTCAGGACGGCAAGAATATGGAAAGCCAAGAACGACCGAAACGAGGCATGCCACGAGAAGACCATGGAATCGTGCAGCCTGAAAGGGTGGTTCCGAATTAGGGTCGCCTGTTCATAGGTTTTTCAAGATAGACGGCTTATCACAGTAGGTACCCTGGGGCGCTAAGTTTGGGAACCCTGCCTAACCTTTATGCCGGCAGCTACTGCACAACACGGTCCCATGCCTCTGTTGCTTGCATCAGGCCGGGTGAGGAGTGAGAGGCGAACGTGCCGAGCATCGCTCCTCCGCCAAAGTTGTTCGGTTTTGGCCAATCTACGATTAAGGAGTGGGGTTTTAGGGTTCTTTGTTAGGGTCGTTTCACCAAGCGATCTGCGCAGCCAACAACACGTTGGGGGGCGCACAAATTTTCAAACCCAATCGAATGTGCGTGCATGGTGCATTCCCGCGTTGAGCCATGAGACGCCAGAGCCGCTATGGTTTGACAGTGTTTTGTGGCATGCGCTGCTCTGAGATTTGTGGAAACCCGAAACCCTAAGCCCTAAGCCCTGTGGGAATGGCCAGGGTCCACAAGTGCTACGGATTCCTGCAGTGGCAAACAGAGCTCTGCGGCCTCGCAGTGATCAGTACCTTGCCGCGTGGCAAGAAAGCCTGCAGCAGTTTGCGCATGTCTCCGAGCCAAACCCTAAACCCACCCTAAGCCCTACTTAACCCTAAACCCTAAACCCCTTTGCACGCTCACAATCACAAGCTGCTACAACGGAGGATGCCCTGAGCTTTGAGAACGAGGCCAGACGGGCAATCCGCGTCTCTGCGTGGGCCCCGAGCCCGATCCTCCAGGTCCCCGTATCGGAGGATCCCAAACTCCCTAAACTCCTAGACCCAGAATCAAGAAGAATATAGAACGCAGAAGATCGAGTAGAACATGCAAGATACACCCCCCAAAGCCCCAAAGCTCAAGCCCCAACCCCGAAGCACGCGAGCTTCACCCACACCTCGTCCGAGTTTCGACGTAGGCGCTGGAAGTGCAGCTGCACCAGATCCAGGCCGAAGGGGGGGGTGGAGGGGAGTGAGTTTGGGGCCTCAAGGGTGGATTTAGGGATGTTTAGGGGGATGCATCAAGTGTTCCTACCCCGAGTGCTTCGAGCCCTGTGGCCAGGGTTTAGGGTTTAGCGTTTAGGGTTGAGGCACGCATGAGCTTAACACACTGACCCCCGCTCCCCCCCAAAGACGTTCTTTCATTGGTATTTACAACATAGAACCTCGTCAAGCTATGCCAGCTATGCCTATTTGCTAGTTAGGGACAGTTTTAGATGGATCTTTTGTTGCTATCATGCCTCCTCTTGCTGTCTCATACAAACCTTGTCATATCAATTCGTGGGGATGTGTGCTGACAAGCTTGCCCAGCATGTCACAAGCTCGCACAAACGTCGCAGGACGACCACGCACAGCTCCATGAAGAGTTCCGCGGCACGCGTGAGGCGAAGGGGGAGGTGGTGGGGGTGCTTGCCTTAAGAACCCAAAACCTACCTTTTTGTTGTAGGTTCTTATGACTGAGAAATCCCCTTACAGGATATTAGGTAGGCCACACAAAAGGCAGGCTTTGGGGGAAGGAGGGGGGCTATGACGTCTGCGGAGCCCCCACTGAGAAGTCTAGAGGGACGTGGGCGGCAGGCAATGGCAGGCACGGCCGCAGAGTAGCTGCTGGTCGACACTCACTCGTTCACTCACTCATTTGAGGTGGCATTGGAGGAGTTTCCACAAGCAGCCAACTGCTGTGGGCTGTGAACCCTAAACGTACATCTGTGTATTGAGTATGCGCCTTGAACCCTAAACCATTAACTGCGAGTTCTCGATGCATCCTGGCCAGTTCTACACCAAGCGAGTCGCCGACATGACTTCTCAACTGGAGGAACGCTGGGAATGGGGGTTCATGGTTTGCAGGGCTTGGGGTTCTTAAGGAGTCAGCGTTTGCCCTCACGCATCGGTTTTTCTGGTCCTCGATTGCGAGGACCGTGCTCGGACGACATGTACCGCCGAAGGTCATGCAGACTGTCTCAGCGACCTGCTTGTTTTCCACGAGGACGGCTTGCAACCTGCATTTGCAGACAGACGGGCTGAAAGGGCTGAAGTAGGAATGGACATATTCAGCTCGCATGGCAGGGTGGAGGTAGACTTATGTTATGAATGTTTTCCCAGAGCAACAAACCGCCTGTGAAAAGTTGAGCTGAGCTGCGTGCAAGCCCATATGCGTCGGTGACATAATATGCTGCTTTCATGCGTCTCAGGACAACGGGGTTTTAGCTGGAAGCTACTGGCGGGCGCAGTGCGAGAAGAGGGACGACAGCATCAGGCGCTGGGCTACAAGCCAGTAAGACAGAAGTTTTAGTGTGATTCAGTCCTGCTGGTCTGATACTTGGTCAGTTTGTGTCACGTCAAGCTATACCAAGAATTGGATTTCCTCCTACGAGTTCCTAAATGCAGAACCCGAAATCCTAAAGCCCAAGCCCAAAGCCCTAAGCCCTAATAAACCCTAGACCCCAAACCCTAAACCCTAACCCTAGACGAGAGGTTCCTGTCCCTGAAGCTGCAAGAGTACACCGTGCCGTCTGCGGAGTACCACTCCCGGCAAGGCAAAGCAGCCTTTAACCTTTTTTTGGTTGTATAGAATCCTACTAGGTAGAATAGGTTAGCCGTTTTGGGCTAAGGGTATTCAGCCCCTGGGGTGCCGTCTTCGGCTTGGAGCTTGGCGCCTTTTAGAGTTTATGGGGTATAAAGGGTTTATGGAGTTTGGGGGTTTTTGGGTCCAGGGCTTAGGGTTTAGGGTTCAGAAGCCCAAGACCTTGGACCCGAAACTAGATCCTGGATCCTCATGTCGGGCTCCGTGTCAGGGCTCGAGACTTGGCCCCCTCTGTTGTGAAAAGAGCCAAGAAAGCGCCCTCTGTTGTGAAAAGAGCCAAGAAAGCTCCCAAACCCTGAGGTCTTGATGCCTTTCTTGCAGTCCTTGGTCCTTGGGTTTAGGGTCCAGGGTTCCCTGTGTGCTGCCTAAAGGCCAAGAGACCTTTGGCACCTGAACCCCATAAGCCTGAAGCCACCCGACACGGCCACTGGCCAGGATACATGGTTTGGGGCGTTCCAGGGTTTAGAGTTTAGGGTTTAGGGTTTATCATGATTAGTAATGTTATTATATGATGATGATGATGATGATGATGATGATGATGATGATGATGATGATGATGATGATTATTGTTATTATTTTATGTATTTTTTGGTTTGGGCGGGAGTGGGGGTGGGGGATAGCTAAATGAGGGCCCCCTTGTAGGTTTACAGCCTTATCTCTTCTACAAAGGTCACCAAACAGAGAGCCCGAAGCTCGAGCAACTCCGCATGTGCTGTTGCATCTGGGAAGCCAAACCCTACACTACACCCCTAAGGCATTAAACCCGAAACGATCCTAAGCCCTGAACCTTCACGCGAAACCCGACGCCCCTAAACACCACACCCCCGCACCCAAATCGGGAGTTTGTAGCTAATTTCATGAGAATGTGTATTTTCGGCTTCTAGGGTTTAGGGCTTAGGGTTCAGGGTTTAGGGCTAGGGCTGTATGGGGATTATGAGGCCCTTTGTTTTACTATTTCCAGGCCTGCAAAACCTCCCGCCTACGCACTCTCCTCCTGATCCTGCGGGGCGGCCGAGACTTCGGGTCCTTTGGGTTTAGGGTCTAGGGTTTGGGGCTTAGGATTTAGGGCTTGCTGTTTGGGGTTCAGGGTTTGGACAGCTGGCATTTCAACAAGGGCCGCTTGGAAAGCCATTCGCGCTCCGGGTACTTGACGCACCTGGTGCCAGAGTGTAGAGATCAACTGCGGCGTTGGGGCTTTCACGGATTCTTTTTCAAGGCTCGATGACAAGGTCGATGCTCATAACTTCGGGTGTTCACTTCTCTCGGTCTTGCAGACAATTGCAATGCTTCCGTGCATGTCTTGGTCACTGAGTCCTCGCCGTCAACTCCATCCAGGCAGTGGGCGAAGCCAAACGGGATAGCACTTGTGCCTTAGATCCCATGAACCCCAAGCCCTGGGTTCATGCGGTTCAAATTAATACTAGGGTTAACCGGATTGCTTGGCTCATCGGTTTTTAAGGGTGTATTATAGAGCTTAGAGGTTCTCAGGGTAACAGGGACCTGATCCTTCTGTTTAGGGTTTCGAAGCTTTGAGGGGTCTGGAGGGTGCATAGGGCTTAACTTAACCCCTATGCACCCTCCAAACCACGATAGCTTACAAACCCTACTAAGGATATTTGGGGCTGTACGGTCCTTAAAGGCTTCAATTGGTGCTCAAAGTTTCGGATTTTCGGGAAAGCGTGCTCGCCTTCCTAACTCAATCCTAAACCCGAAACCCTGAACCCTAAACCCTAAACCCTAAATCTCAAGCCCGGAACTCCAAACCCAAGCTAAGCCCTAGGCCTATGCCCTAGATATTTCTCAATCTTCCTCATCGTAAAGACATAGGCCAGCAAGCCTTAAACTCTGTCCTGATAGGGGAAGTGACATGGTCCCAAAATATGGCCCCTTTACCTTCTCTAAAGGATTCTGACATAAAAGCCCCTTGGGTTTTATATAGAGGTTCCCCAATTAACGGCCCATACGGTCGGTCCCTTTTCGGTACCCTAAACATAAGGGGCCGCCTTCGAATAGTAACCCCAAATTTTGGACCCTAATATAGAGAAGCGACCACCCCCAGGGGCGGCCGTCTGCAGGGGCCTTGGAGCCCTAAACCCTAAACCCTACAACCCTAGGACCCTTAAAGCCCCGGAGGTCTGAGGCATCCCCAGCCGCGGGAGCTTCGAAAGGTCCTCACACCTTGAGGGTTTTCAGGGTTTAGGGATCAGGGTGCAGGGTGCAGGGTCCAGGGTGCAGGGTTCGAGAGCTTGGGTTGATGTAGGGTTTATGAACGGGGTTTGAGATTTTCGGGTTTGTGATGCTTTATGTAGGGTTGATGAACAGGGTGGATGGGTGTTTAGTTTTCGGATTTAGGGGATGGGGGTGGTAGGCTGGGTGCTTCTTGGTTGCGGAGCTTTGTTGAAGCCGTTCTCGGGCCGGTGGCCAGGATCCTCGGGCTTCTGTCAGGGTTTCCTAAACCCTAAACCCTAAACCTGCAGCTTTTGCGGGACCTTCTGGGGGTTTTCGGTGGCCTTGGCAGGCCGGGGGAGCATGTGTGCGTTGGGCTTAACCTGGGCTCTTTTTCGGCTTTACAAGACCCCAGTAACTTAAGGTACATGTCCTGTCTCACACTGTCGGGACCGTTCTTCCTTCTCTGATTATCTCTACGTAAGCGCCCAGCTTGCCACACTGCAGCCAGGGAGGTCCTTGGGATACAATTTTGGTTGTTTTTGCCAACCAGGATGTAATCAACCCTATAAAGGCCATGGAAAGCCAACGCAGGAAATTGTGCTTAATAGACAGCGGAACCCAACGAGTGGCTTTTAGTTCAGAGAACTGCCCATGTCCCCAAAGCAGTTTGTCTCTGCAGGCCACCCGGGGGCCATGAAGGCGCGCGGGCGAAAGGGCTTAAGACTTAGCATACGAAGTCGGAGGGGTGCCTTGCAAGGGATTTAGGGAGCCCTCAAATCCTAAAGCCTAAACCGTTTTGGTGGTGCAAAGTTTGATCCGGGGTTTGTGGGCTCAAGGGCGTCATCGCCTGCCAGCCTCCTGGGCTTAGGTACCTTCAACGGTTGAGGGTTGGGGCAACTGATTCCCCCCACTAAGAGCTGGTAAGCCCTAACCTCATCCTCAGTAGAAATCTTGAGCCCATAACCCCGAAGTACCCGTAGAGCACGGAACCCTAAACCCTAGGCCCTTATAGCTCTTATCACAGGCATTGTCCCCAAACCCTAAATCCTAAACTCTGAACCCAAACAGTCCTACAACCAATCAGGGCTTATTTGTTTGTCTGGGCTTCCTGTGCGCCTTCTGGTGAGGCAGCTGAGCGCGCTTTCCAGGCGCCTTGCTCCTGGAGTTGTGACTTGCACCCCAAACCCCTGTGGGCCTCAAACGGGTTTGGGTTTTGGACCCCGAAACTTGAAACCGGAAGCCCTAATCCCTAAAACCCGAACCCCAAAGCGCAAAACCCCAAAACCTAGATCCTTAAAGCCCTAAACCCCCCCAGAACCCTAAAGCCCCAAGCTCTCTAAACCCGAATTTCCCTAAATCCTGAAGGCGCTGAGTGAGCGGCATTCGCGCCTGTGCGAGGAGGTGCGAGAGGCCGAGGCCGCAGACTGGGGATTAGGGTTTAGGGTCGAAGGGTTTCGGGAAGGGTGTCGGGTTTAGGGTCGAAGAGCTTAGCGGTTTTGGGTTTAAGGTTTTGACCTCGCTCTACCCATGAGTTGGATTTTTTAACGGCAAGAGAATGCTTAGAGTCACACCGCCTGTCGCCGATGGTTTAAGGTTTAGGGTTTAGGATTTAAGGGTTTAAGGGTTTAGGGCTAGGGCCAGGGTTCGCCTGACAGCTGCAGAAGCCCCTAAACCCCAAACCCTCAACTCTGAACCCTGAATGTCCAACCTTAAAACCTAAATCCTGATATTGCTCATGGTCACAGTGAGTGCGTTCGCGGCGGGAGGCTCGAGCTGCTGGCCTCGAGTGGGATCTGCAGGCCGCTGGGGGGTGGCCCAAGCGTCAGCGGTGTGGATTAGCTGAAGGGGGGGTTCAGGGTTTAGGGGTTTCGGGGTGTAGGACCCTAAACCCTAAACCCTAAAACCTACATACCCTCAGCCGTACATTCCCAGCCCGCGAGGAGCGTGAGCGGCGATGTCGTGGACGGGCGCGGGCGCCAGGGGCCTGGGCTGGGCTGCAAACCCTTGAGGCGCTGTTTAGGGAGGTTTCAGCCCTGGCTGAGGGGTCTCTGCAGCTGTCGTCCTTGGACCCCCAGGTTTAGAATCTCAATATAATATAGTATACGATTTTTCGTATATCACATAACATATATGTACTATGTAATATCCTCGACATGCTGTAGCATCTAATGCAAATCCTGAGGGCCGACGATCCAAGTCCACCAAAGCTTGCCGTGAGCTCAGCTCCACCACCTGAACATAAAGGAGTTCAGGGCTCTTGGGGGGGAAGGGGGAGGGAGAAGGAGGGGGTATGCTTCGGGTTTACGTACAGCCCTACTTGTAACTGCCCATGGGCCCGAGAGCTAAGCCCTTCATGCACTTTACACCTTGAACCCTAAACCCTAGAGGCCCTGAACCCTAAACCCATGAACTTTGAACCTTCCAGCCGTGGGGTTGTCAGAGATCCAAAGACTCCCAAACAGGACGTGGATGAGATACGTCAGGAGGCTGAGGAGGCACGGAGGTGAGTTTACTACTTGTACTTGAAAAGCAGTTGTTGGGAAAATATTGTCAACGGTTTAGGGTGCCACAGAGACTCAGAGAAGCCATGATTTGAATGGGTTTTGGTACTTGGGGTTTGGGTTCAGCCCCCAGTAAGAGCGAACTTGCATGGTCGACATGGCCAATGTGCGGGGCCATGCATGAGATTTGTGTGGATGATTGAGTTTTCGCATTCGTGGTTTGACTTTGAGCTGCGAAGTGAGAAAGGTGTCAACGCCAACCTGGGCAACTCGCTGTGCATGGCGATTCTGACCTGTTTGCCTGCAGTCATTGGGTTCGCACATTGGGCCGCACTATGCCCTCCCGAACCAGGAAAAACAAGCATCCGTGCCCCGTGTGGTTTTGTACGAAGCACTTGGCATTGCCACTTGCACGGTCTTGCGGCACAGAGGCTCAGCTCATGGAAGACGAGCAGTCGGGTTTGTGCAGTAAGAGAGGCGGTATAGGCAGGAGGTGGCAAGAGTCTAAGAGGTAGTCTTCGCGCAAAGCCCCATCTAAACCCTGTAACAGGCATGAATGCAGGAAGGCGTGCGATAGAGAGCGAGCGAGAGAGAGAGTTTTGCACATATATATATATATATGTATAGATCAGGTATGTAATTATTGCATTCTTCAAAAGCTCGGCTTTCTCAGTTCAAAGCCATGGAGCCGCAGCTGGACGAAGAGCTGGCCTGGGATACAGGATGGACTTGCCCCTCTTGCACCTTGGTGAACGAGTCTGAGGCTCCAAGATGCGGGGCCTGCAACAGCTTGCGAAGCTCGGTGCGTAACTCGGGGGTCGTGGTTGTGCTCCCCCCGGACAGAAAGCAGAAGCGGCCGGAGGGCGATGACCAGTGGGCATGTCCGGCCTGCACGTTGTTGAACGACGAGGCAGAGGACCGCTGTGGGGCCTGTGGCAGCCAGCGCTGGCTCAGCAAGAGGCCCAAGACCGCTGCAGCCGTTCGCGCCGCCCGCCGGGACCTGTCGAGTCTTTCCAGGAATACCCAAAAAGACACCTCGGGAGGTGGCACTGATGGCACTCTTGCCGATAGCATGCGTGCTGAGGATCATGGCATCTGGGGCGGCCTGGGACCGGATCGGGAGTTCCTCCCGCTCCCGCCGGCACCGGAACTGCGTGTGGTCTACCGCTCAGCGAAGGACACGGAGGTGGACATCTTCGCCGAGCTCGGCGAGTCGACCGACAAGACCGACGCGCCGCCCGAGACAGCTGAAGGCGAGCAGCCCAAGAAGCTGGCCGGGGGTGAAGTGGGCGAAGAGGGAGGAGAGGGCACAACCGGCAAAAATGCCAAAGGTGGGGAAGGCGGAGGAGAGTCGGCCGCTTTGGGCCCTGCCCTGCCCTCAAACCCTTCCCTCTCGCGGCCGGCGTGGCGCATACAGGGAGCCCCGATCTTCGCTGGGGACCCGTCCCTGGAGTCCCTGCCTTGTCTGGAGCTGGGCCTCAGCGAAGCCACGGTCTTCGAAGACGCCGTGGGGCGCCTTGCGCTCTCAGGCTTCGAGGTCACCAAGCGCCTCGTTCTTGAGAGGTCAGTTTAGCGGAAGGGTCCTTTTAAGTCTGACTTCCTGATGACTGCTTGAACCCGAAGTCGAAAACTTAATTCCCCCCCCCTCCCCCCCTCCTAAGCCTGTGGGTTCAGGGTTGGGTCACAAGGGCTCCGTGACAAGGGAAGTCTTTGTACCTTCCCCCTCATATTAAACCTCCGCCCCGTTGATACTAGATACTGAGGTTACAGTCATACTATTATGGTGTATGGGGAATATTTAACATTAGGGCGTGGGGGGGGGGGAACTATTCGGGGGAGGGGACTATAGGGTTTCAGAGCGAGTTTCAGGTGCCACTTGGCTCTGGAGGCGGCTGGGGGCGACGAGAACCTGGCCCGACAGTTCCTCTTGGGCCCCGAGCCTTCCACCTTTTGAGCCGCAGGCGGAAAAAGGTTTGGGGTTTAGGGTTCGGGTGAGTGTGCGGCGATCAAGGTCAGGGGTGTTGGGGACGGTTCGGGTGTGCCTGGAGAAAACCCTGCTCTGTACAAAAGGTAAAATATAATACTTTTCTCAATCTATTCACATAATCGCATGTTAACAATACCCAGTTTAAGATCCAGGCAAAAGGGCTTTCGGGCAGCGACAAGTCTGATTCTTGTTCTTTCCTTCTCTGAATTCTCGCCCTCTCTTCATCGATCCTCAGATCATGTCGCTAATTCAGCAACTTCGGCGCTCGTGACGCTTAGAAGTAAGTGTCGGTAAACAGTAAGTTAGAACAACATAGCAATAGAATTTATCTAACACCTGAAGGACACGACATGCACCGCGGAGTGTCGGAACCCGCGCCTGAATCCCTAAACCCATTAGCCTAACACCTTACAACCGAACCCCCGCTAATCCCTAGAACCCCTGAAGCCCTAAACCCCACGAATCCCTGAAACCATTAATTAATCCCCTTCAACGCCTGAATCCCACAACTCGGAGCCCTCACCCTATGGATGCCCCCCGCCCCCCCGGTAAGAAGCCTAAACCCCATAAACTCCAATTTAGGGGGTTAGGGTTCAGGGAATCTCTGCACCTCCTGAAACTCAAAATCGCCCCCCCTTTTCAGCGCCAGGCGGGACGAGCTCGACCAGCGAGCTGGGCAGCGCCCTTCCCAGAACGATGGGAATCAAGCTCGGGATGGGGCCGCTGTAGGTCCTGGGTGTTTGTGTGGCTCTATGTTCCTAAATCTGGTGTTTTGGGCTTAGGGCTGGTGGGTTGATGGCAAGGCTTTCAGGGCTTATGGGCCTTGTATAAGGTTTAGGGGTTTGCAGGGTTTGCTCGAAAAACAGAGAACAGGACGCAGAGACCTAAGGGCGTGAAGGGGGCATCGACTCTGTTGGGCTCGTAGGGTTTGAGGCCTGCAAGGGCTTTCAGGAAATTTGTAGGTCTTTGGGGCTGAAAGGGTTTTCGGACTTATCGAGTTTTAGGGTTTAGTAATAGGGTTGGCATGTGGGGTTCAGTTTTCCTGTCTACCAACTTCCATGGCTGCCCCGCGGATCCCGAAACCCCCAGCCGTAAACCCGAAGCTCTGGACCCTAAACCCTAAATTCAAAGAGAAATTGCCCTGCGGATCCCGAAGCCCTAAACCCTAGACGCAGCCGGAGCCCTTACTTTCGAGCACATGCCGTGGCATCTGTTTTGAAGGCCGCTGGACATCGGTGGAGGTCTCCCCCCAAACTTTCGGCTCGGTGGTTGTGCAACAGAACACTCGGGTTTAGGGTTCAGGGCTTAGGATTTGAGGCCTTAGGGTTCACGGTGTGATGACCCTAAACCCTAAAACCCTAAACCCTGGGTTTAGAGTTTCGGGCTTGGGAGCTGGCTGGCCCTTGACCCCGGAAAGCGCTTACACCCGGTGCCAAGGCTGGAGCGGACCTCGCTGCAGTTTGATGCAACCAAGCGGTCCCTGGACGCCGCCAATGAGGACCGCATATAGACAAATAAATAAATAGCAAATAAACATAGAATATGCTATATATATATAGGTGCATAACATGTCGGGCTTGGGTTTGGAGGGTTGAGGCAGAGGGGGTTGAGGTTCAACTCCCGTTTAGGTTTGTTTGGATAGGGTTTTTGGTCTTATAGGGTGTTTGGGGCTTGTAGGTTGTTTCGGTTCTCAGGCTTCTCAGGGTTTTTACAGTTTTAGGGTTTCCAAAGCCCGTCCTCTGCTTTGTGGTTTCCTGCAGGAGTTGCAGTGGCAAGCCACTAGCGCGGAAGCCTTGCGAACACGGCTGACCGACGTCCTCCGAGCCACTTCCGCAGAGGTGCGACCGTTTCTGATGCGGGCTCCTGTTTGGGGGCTTCTTGTGGGGTTAGGATGCGATAGGATGGAATTTAGGTGGGGTGCAAGCCTCTAACAGGAAGGAAGGGTACTCAAAACGCGAAACCCTAAACCTAGACCCATCCGAAAGGCGCCTTGTTCAGGCGCTATACGCTTTGAGCCCCAACACACAAAAAGAAGCCCTTTAGATCCCAAGCCCTGCAAGCAACCTTTTCTGATGGGTGAAGGGGATGCGCTTGTGATGCGTTGTGTTTGTGTTGTTTTGCTTCAGTGAAAACCTTTATCCTCCACTCGAAATACCAAAGCACTGAAGCCCGAAAACCTCCCCTACGACCCTAAACCTTCCACTCCACAACCCCACGGCCTAAACCCTAAACCCTAAAATCCTAAACCCTAAAATCCTAGAATCCTAAACCCTAAAACCCTAAACCCTAAATCCAGGAGCGCCGCAGCCAGGAAGCTTTTGCCGAAGAAGCTCGCCGCAGCACGGCGTTGCAGGCCCCTGTTGAGGGTTTATAGGGTTTAGGGTTTATTCAGGGTTCAGGGTTGAGGGTTGTGGCACGGCTTTGGTTGCTATTCAGAGGCTCGGAGTTTAGCCAGGTTTAGAACTTATGTCAGTGGGGGCGTCCCTGAACCCTGAACCAACCCGGTCCTAAACCCTAAATCCCCCCACAAGCCCTCCAACTCCTAAAGACCCTAACACCCTAAACCTGCCAAACCCTACTCCCCGCTCTATAACCAGAGCCCTGAAACTCAAGCCCCCTAAGTGCCAAATGCATAAGGTCTCCCAAACCTCTCCACAAACGTCTCCCCCTCCCACGCCCCTATACTGCGACTTGCAGTCGCAGGAGCTGCTCCAGCGCTGGACGGCCATGAAGCCGGATGCCCCTCTTCCCGCCGCCTGCATCCAGGCGGCTGTGAAGCGGCGCGCGATGGCGCGCGCGTGTGTGCGGGTTTGGGGATTTGGGGAAACTATAAGCCGCGACCCTCAGTCTGCTTGGGCTCCCTTTTGGCAGCGTTTTGCCCCAGAGCAGGCTATCAGAACCCGCTACAATTGTGGTAGTTGGGTCGTTGGGGGTCGCAGGTTCAGCCCTGAGCCTGAACCCTGAACTTTAGAAGCCCCAAGCTCCTTCCCTTCAGACCCTCACTTCTAAACCCTAAGCAACCTTAGGCCCTGCAAACCCTAAACACCTGCAGGCCCTGAACCCTAACCCCTAAACCCTAAACCCTGTTCCTGTTTCAGTAGCTTAGACGAGTACGCGCCCGAATTACTGCTAATGACGTGCAAAGTCGACTCCGACAGGGCCCAGTGTGTGCACACAGCAAGCTTCGCGTGTGGAGCAGTAGTCTGGGAAGGCAGGGAACTCTCATGACCGATGACCAGCAGGCAGAACAAGACTTGTGCTCGAAAGAGGCCCCTGCAAGGCCAATAAACTCGGCCAGGGCGATCCGAATTTCACACAGTGAGGCCAGACCAAGGGATGTAACCGATAGGCGAAACCCAAAAACCGCCCTTAGCAGCCAAAAGCCACCACCGCACAACAAAGTAGAAACTGCTCCATGAAATACCACGAAAGCAGTGTAGAACTACGGCCTGCGGCGCTCATACTAAGACCCATAGAAAGTAGCCCGACACCATCGCGAAGGATTGCCATTATCATCGCAGCCCATGCGGCCTCAACGCTCCGGCATCTCTCCAACCACAGCGAGATACAGAGAACATCAGAACATCAGCAGCTTCCAGCCACACATCATGTCACAGCCGCTCATTCTACGAACTGGAGGCCGAGCTCGTGCGTGACAACCTTCACCTTGAACAGCAAGCAAAGCGTGTGCATGGCGACCAACCGATGTCCTGAACAGCAGCCGGAGCTCGTGCAGAGTGACGGCGCTTCGCCTGGAACTGCAAGCTAAACGCCAGCAGAGCGAGCTCTTGCATTGTGCAAGCCAAGCTCGTGCAGAGTGACAGCCCTTAGCCTTGAACAACAAGCCGAGCTCTTGCCCTGAAGCACGGGCCCGACAGAACTGCAAGGCCCTGTCGCGCCGAATGTTCGGTGATTTCGGTGTCGTGTGCAAAGGCTCCCAAGCTCCCTTCCACTTCGAGTCAAGGCCGATCTCATCATGGAACTGCGTGAACAACTTGAAGCCGCGCCTGTTCACGCACGCCATCCCATCCTCGTGCACAAGGGTGGCACTGCGCAATGCAGGTTCCTTTCCAGGCGATTGCAGTGCATATCATCTGAATGCTGAGCACGAGCGGCCAGATTCTTCAAAGTGCTCTCGGCCCACATCATAATCCGCTGTTTTTCAAGTCGTCAGATTCACGCACATTCGCTGCCGCTAATCGAAGGCGACGCAGTGAGACATCACCAGAGGCCACAAATGCCGGTACAGGACACAAATGCCGGTAGAGCATGGCCCATATTGTCTCTGATGTCATTTTCCAGGAGGTCTGGGGTTGCAGGCTATATGGCGCACTGGGCATGCTGCTGTGCCATTTGATCCCAAACCGTAAGCCCTAAACCCTATAACCCTATAACCCTATAACCCTAAACCCTAAACACCCACCCTGAGGCCCTGAAGGCCTTAGGCCCGAAGCCTTCCTGGCAGAGGCCCAGCAGCTGCTTCGGCCCAGCGAGGGCAAGGAAGAGGAGACCCAGAACTGCCCTTTCCATGGTTCAGGGTGGGGTTTAAGGTGTTTAGGGTGTGTATAGGGTGTGTATAGGGTGTGCAGGGTTTAAGTTTAGGGCGTAATTTAGGGCTTCGGGTGTAGGGTTTAGGGTTGGGGCGTTTAGGGCTCACAGGGTGTAGGGTTGACAGGGTGTCAGGGGCTTGGGTTTGAGGGTTTGCGGGCTTAGCGTGTTGAGTGTTCAGGTTGTAGGGGCAATCCCTGCCAAATTCGGGGTTTTAGATTGTAGAGTTGGGAGATACAGTGTCGAGAGGTTCGGAGCTTAATGCCAATAAGCATCCCTAAACTTATAAGTTAAACCCAAACAAAATGTGGCAGGAGCCGGCCCACGCCTGACAGTGTTGAGCTCAGGTCAGGGTTCGAAAAGCCCGAAAGCGTGGATGAGTTCTTCAGCTAGCCCCCTGAAATACACCATCTGAAGTCTCAGCCCGTGTGCTTGGGGTGTCGAAATCGGACTGTTGCCTAGGTCCTGGGAGGCAACCCAGCTTCTAAACCCTAAACACTGAACAGAACTGCTTCTCCTTTCCGGTCCAAATCGTGCTCCAGCATGGTTTTCGAGCTTGGGCCTTGGGATCGTGGTCTAGCATACTCTTGAGGAAAGGGGGTTTAGGGTTTTTTTTCTCTCAAACCGGGTGTGCAGAGTAGACTCCGACAGCAGCGCGCTTGCTGCAAGTTGCCCGAGGCCTGGACAAGCTCTTGCATTCTTCGAAGCGACATCGGCGAGATGAGGGGGCCTGCTCGCCTGTAGCACCCCCAAGTAAACCCCTCAACCCTACAGTCCGAAAGAGCCCAAAGCGCTCTAAACCCGAAGTCCTAACCACTTAGGATGGATTGTAGCTCTTGGGGTCACCTCGGGCTTGAGACGTTCTTCGTAGCCTGTTTGGGGTTCACGTTTCACCTGGAGGCCGTTCAAAGGTTGATTATAGTCTATATTATATCAGGGCTGCAAGTCTTAGGCAACGGTGCTGAAGTTGCAGAACGGAGAAGGGTGGAGATTTCCGAGATAGGCTCCGAAGTTGTACATAGTAGAAGCTGCCTTTGCCTCGTTGCGCCATCCAGTGTGACTCTCCATGACCGTAGCAGCTAAATTCTAAAAACCCTATAAGCCCTTCAGACCCTCAATCGTTCCGAGAGCAGCAATGGAGAGGATACTGACCGCAAATCGAAGCACATCGAAGCAACAATTGACGTGCTGCGGCAGACTTTGAGAAACAATGGGTCGCTTGCCAGAGTCCTGCTCCTTCTCCTGCTCGTGCTCGTTCTAGTACCGTCAACCGGCAGGTGTTTTACGCATGGCTAATTTGCAGGCTTTTGCATGCTCAAGCTTCTGATTCCCAAGTTCGATCCGCTATGGATTCGGATCATGTAGATCCTTTCCAAGGTGCCGATGCGGTGGTCCGTGCCCACCTTGTGCAGTCTTTCCGGTTGGCAGCGTCTGCTAATCGAGCCGAAGGCCCAACAGGTGAGCTGAACATTTTTCAAGCAGCTGCGTCAGCTGGCTGGATCCGCCGTGCGGATTCCGGTCGGGTCGGGCCTTTGGGAGCTTTTCGTGCACTCCTGTTGGGCTTCGACCCCCCGCACTTCAGCTCCAGCACCATGCATAACGGGCGTGTTGCTGCCACAGCTCCATTCGCGGGAAGTTCCCAGCGCACCTTCCAGCCTAGAAGCCGTTCCCCCAGCCTTGCTCTTCGACATGACCGGTCCACGCACAGGACCCCGCTGCCAGAACGTGACATGGGTGGCCCCCGTCCGTCAACGGCTCGCAAGCAGATGCTGTGTCCGCACTGCAGTGCTGGCCTGGTTCCAGAGTATGTGCCGTTCACGTGCCAGCTTTGTCACTGGCGGTCCTACAAGTACGATGAAAAAAGCTGGATGTGTCCGGCCGGCTGCAATGCTCGTTTCTGCAGGCATTGCTGCCGCAGCTGCACTGGTACCGTGTAGGCCTGATTTGCAGCAAACAATGACTAGATGCGTACAGATTAACCCATCCGTACAATTCTCAGCCTCGCTCTTAACCTCCTTCACGCGCTGCGCCAGCTTTAGCTCTGGTCATGGCCGATGCAGAGGGTTAGCTAAGTTAGCTCAGATCACACCCGTCATCACCCGTCACCCTTCGTAAGGGTTCGGTCTACTGTGCAGGCGTTAAATGGCAAATGGAGACAGCTGTCATGAGCTTCGAGCATGCGCAAAAAGGTCCAAGCGCGGGTTGAGTTGTCAGCTGGAGATGTTGTGTTTGATGCTTCTGCACGAGGCATAAGTCCGACGGCTATAGTTACTACAGTTTGACTTGGACCAGGACACAGACAGACCCTTATGATAGCCCTTATGCCTTCTGTCTCGCATTGACTGCGACTTCGATGACGACTACCTACGTTGTTTTCGGAGGCATAGATAAGGGTCAGACATCATCACAGGCGTGTGGAGCTCGCATGCCACCGCAGCCATTGTGCGATCGTTTGGGCCTTCATGCAGGATCTGGCCCTCACCTCCCTGCCTCGACGTGAGTCACCGTCATGGCCACGGCATCTTCAGTGACAAAATTTGTGAAGATGAGCGGGGAGGTCATCGATTGCGAGGTGCTAGCTGGGGCCCTCAAAGCACCCTCAGCTTATTCAGCCTAAAAGGCTGAACCCACATTGAAGCCACAATCGCCTTAAAACCACAATCCCTCTCAAACCCTGATCCTAAACTATGTAGTCCCTATGAAGCCCGGAGCCAAAGCTGAACCATCATCCTGATAAACGCCCTGTACCCCTAAGCCCTTGTCCCTTAGACCCTCAGCCCTTCAACTGCCTTCAACCTTTTGACTCCTCTCCAGGTGCCTTCCCTTTGCACGGTGCATGAGGCCGCCAGCCTCTTGACGGACTGCTTGGGCTGTGGTTTCGTCCGGCTCATCAAGGACCCCTTACAGGAACGCCCCTTTGGCCCCCTTAAAGTTGTTTGTTTCCGATTTCATGGCCATAGGTGGAACCAGTAGCAATTTCCCATGTCATTTTGTGGGGCCCTTAAACGTGACTAACGTAGATCCAGCTTGAACAAGACCTGCCCGCGGTCTAGGACCGGGTCCTCGAAGCAGGCGAGGTGCTCCCGGAAGGCGTTGTGCAGGTGGGAGGAAGTGGGTAAAGTAGGTAAGTTCCCCCCCCCCCTCCCCCAAACTGTAGGGCTTGTAGGCTGAAAATTGAGGAGCCCGAAGCTACACGAAGCCCCCACGATTGGGGGTTAGGACGCATAAGCCCCAAACTTCAACCCCAAAATCCCAACAAGGTGGTCATGTACGCAGAGATTTGGGGCAGCTGGGGACGCCACATCCAAGTAGACAGGCGGACGGCCGGATGGGGTCGTGGGTGGGCTCGTGCTCTTGTGGGCGTGCCAGCAGGCAAAGCTGCAAAGTGGCGAGCCAAGCTTTCGGAGGAGGCTGGAAGTGGTGTTCAAGTCGTCGGTGTCGTGTCCGATGCGCTGAAGTTCTGGGATGACTACGCAGTCTGCACCGACCAGGGGTACTGGGTGGCACAAAGCGACGCTGTATGGGCATCTGGCAAGAAGGTCGACGGATACGAAGTCATCTTCGTACCAGGAGAAGTGGTGGATCTGGAGCTGGATCGACGACAGCACACTTTGACTGTCAGGGGCTCCAAACGCCATGTGACCATAGCGAACCTGCCGGCATCAGGCATGCTGTATCCTGCACTGTGTTTTGTGGATCCCAAGCAGTACGCAGAGCTGCTCGACTATTATCCACCCGCAGAGTACTTTCCAACGGAGGAGCCAGCAGAGGACGTGGAAGAAGTGGATGCTCAGCTGGCTGCCGGCACCGCCGCAAGCCAGGACAGACTTGACCCCACTTGCCTGGGCTGAAGAATCAAGTGGACCGTTTGAGTCATCGTACATAACCCGAAGCCCGACGCCCCACACCCCCCAAACTCAAACCCCAAACCTTAAACCCGAAGCCTTACTTCCAAAACTCTAAAGCCCGAACCCTAAGACCCCTAACAAGCCTTTTAATAAGGCCAACCCTAAAGCCAACCCTGGACACCCTGAACAACCCAAGATACCCGAAACCCTGCACCCGACAAACCCATATGTCTGCATCAGCAACTTGGCAGTCCCTAAACCCCGTGATTTACTGCCACTCCCCTCTGAGTAGGGTTTAGGGTTTCGGGTTATAGGGTTTAGGGCTTGGGATTTAAGGCTATAGGGTTTAGGGTTTATAGGGCTTAGGGTTTAGGGTTCCCCCGGCTCTACATTTTCGCAGCTCTCAGCTGTTGTGATGGAGGATTTCGCGCCCAGAGCCCGAAAGCCTCAACGCTGGACCCTAGACGCCCTAAATATTACAGGGCTTGTCTGATCCCTAAACACTACAGGGTTTAGGGATTAGACAAACCCTAAAGCAGTTTACGTATTAGGGTGCCGAGGTTAGGTCCTAGGGCAATGCGGATGCTATTCAGACAAAGCACCTGAGATCCGGAGGGGAGGGAAGCGAGTTATCCAGCAGATGGGGCAGACATGGCTCTGACCCTAAATCCTGAACCTTAGCAACACTCCTTGAACCTACCGTAAACCCGAAAGAGCCCCTAAACCCTCAGCATAAACCTGAGACTTCTAGCCCGTCCCTGAGGCTGGTTCTTGTGACTTTGCTGGTTTCGGGCCTGGGTTTATAGTATTGATTCCTTGATTTTCTGTACGTTTCGCCAAAACACAGGCCCTTCATCTCTCTGCCGCGTGGCTCGAGAGCCGTTGAAGCCCTGGCGAGACACATTGCGCAGTCTCCCAAGCCGTTGCTCTCCCGCGTGCCTCGAGGCCAGCCTGGACACGGGGGTCGGAAGAAATTACTAGTCATAATCCCTGATTTGGTCCGTTTATGGTTATACTATAATGGCCCCCCCAGAATCCTATTCCAATCACTAAGGCCCACATATTAACCCCGAACCCTGAACCCCAACCGAGCTCGGGGCATTTCCGCATGGACAGGCTTTCAAGCGTTGCACCTTGCACGGTCCTGAAGCGTTTGTTGCCTCAACCGCTTCTGGCGCCAGTTTTCGCAGACCGTCGGTTGCGACCTGTTTGCGATTGGCTGCACTTTAGCATGCATGAGTGCGAGCGTGGGTCCTCACACGACTCATTGTCAGTTCCAGGCAGAGGCTTGCTTGGAAATGCCCGGTTACAAGGCCCCGGATACATTGCCAGAGCATCAGTTTGCATAGGGTCTTCCTGCCTGACATTCAGGTGCACTTGGCACAGAATGTGGTAGTTGTTCCATTGCTGCAGGCAAGCAAGACCCAGTACTCAGATGTATCTGCGAAGAAATGGGCCAGCAAGGACCGACATTGACGCTGCATTGACGCTGCGTTGTCCTGCGTTGCCCTGCATTGCCCATGAGCTCGGAAGCCGCTGAAGTCAGGATTACCAAGACCTTACACCCGAGAAAGCGGCAAGCTTACAGTGTGTGGGGATGGGGTTTAGGGTTCAGGGTTTCGGGCAAAGTCGTACATTCCGAATCGTGTACCTTAATCGTTTGGGGTGCCCAAAAAGGGCCCCACAATTGAGATCCCTAAGCCCTATAAATGGTCACTTCTCTAAAATGTGGTTCTTTTTTTGAGTCCTGATTATAAGGCGGCCCCTCTTCTTTAGGGTACCCACAAAGGGACCGAAATTTTAGAACTGACCATGTAAACCCTAAACCTTACCCCGCCCCACCCCCCCGCTTGTGCCGGCTTGGCTTTGTGCAGCTTCGGGCTCCAGCAGCCTCAGCCCTGATCAAATCTCTCAGGCCGTGTAATGCCAAACCCTAAAACTCTAAGACCCTTACACCCGTTTAGAGCTGTAGAGTGTTTTAGGGGTTTGGCAAGCCTGAGGTGCGCGACTGGCGCCGCCCGCGCATCGCGTGGAAGTCGAAGGCAGAGTGGGACGAGGCTACCGAAGCGTTGTTAAAGGTTCATGGTAGGCTGGTTTACGGTTGCTAGTCGGGCTTATAGGGCTTAGAACTAAGGGTTTAGGGTGAGGTCAGATCCGTGATCAGGGTTCAGATTTTAGGGGTGCATCTTCATAACATTCAGCAGAACGGGGTCGGCTCAGATTACCCGCGGCGCTAGGCTGCTTAGAGCTTCCGGTTGTGAGGGTGTCTTGTTCAGGGTGTAGGCTTATTCAGGGTCAACGGCACTTCTTGAGCGATGGCTGTGCGTGATCTGACCTGTCATTTCTGCCTCCCAAACTCTCGGATTCCAAGCGCTAAAGCCATAAGCTCTAACCCCGCCAACTTGATGCCGCAGGCCAAATCCACATGGCACGCCCCTGACTGCGAGCGCTGGGTGGAGGGTCTATCTGTGTGTGCTGGGAGGTGTCAGTTGTAGAGTATAATCAGACGTTTAGGGTTTTCGGGTATGGCTAAGCTGGGACCCTAAACCCTAAGCAGTCAGGGGTTGAAGGCACTTAGCTGCAAATGCTACTGCCGCAAGCTGTCGCAAGCGTGCACCTGCTGACAGCCCGGTGTTCGGCACCAGCAGACATTTTCGCAGGCCCGACGATGGCACACACAACTATCCCCAGAGCTCCACACAGCTCAAGCCTCTGCCCGACAACTTCAGGATGAGATGCTGGGATGTGGTACTGTAGTACAGTCGAGTGACACGAAGCAAGACATGATGAATAATGATCCAGGCCATCGTGACCCTCTCTGGCATGTGCTAGGATAAGTTTCCTTGCCGGCATCCGTAGTTGATGCCATGCCCGGGTACCGGTTGTACAAGAGTCTGGTTGCTGGAGCAACCGGACGCGTGGGGGAGGTGCGTGTCAACTGTGCTCCGTGGTGTGTGTGTGGGCGCGTGTACCCGAACTCTTTGAACAGCTCCTAAGATGTCAGGCGTTGACGCGGCAGCTTTTGCTGTCACCTTTGTGTGAGACAGCCGGGCCGCTCAGCCATTCCACTGCAATGTGCGACGTTGGGATTGATACTGCCAGTTCCATGCTGACCCAAAACTACTACAGTTACTAGTTCCTAGTCCTAGACCCAACTTTTGCAGCTTTGCCAGGTGCACACCCTAACCCGGAGGAAGACGGGTGCGTTTAGTGAGTGGCCTTCTGAGTCTGTTTTCTTGTTGACTTGCGCTGCTTCCCACAATCTTGCCTCCGTTGACAGCTGGAGGTTGGCCGCTGCTGCCAAACTCCAACAGCATGTTGCAGATTTCGGCGGCTTGGAAAGAAATCGTGTGACCTTTAGGGTTGGGGTTTAGGCTGTAGGCCTCTTGCGGACGCCCCATTCAAAGTACTGGAAGACCCTGGCACGAGCATCTGTGGCAGATGGCCAAGGCAACGACGCTTGTGGGGCACAAGCTGCTGCTTTTGAGGGTGTTGATGCGGACTCGATCTCAGCTTCCAGAGACGTTCGGTATCTTGCACCAGCGGAGCAAAGTTTGCAAGGTTGTGAGTTTAGTGCCAAACCTGCTGCTGTTGAGAGGCATTCTGTGTGCTTGGTGCTCGTTCTGGCTGGCCGCACTCTCAGCAGAATACCAAACCCGGACCGCCGAAACCCCTGATCCAGGCCTCATTTTCCATAACCAGCCTCAAGCCCTAAACCCCACCCTAAACCCTAAACCCTAAACCCCGAGCCCTAAACCCCAAACCCCAAAAGGCCCTAAAGGGCCACAAAGGCCCTAAAGGCGAGGGAGGGGCGCAACGCCCAAAGACTCGGCGGGCGTGAGGTCCAGTGATGCCGACGTGGCCGCCGTGGAGCGCGACGCTGTGCTCAACTTTGCGAGGTGCCAGGGGCGTTTAGGCCTTCAGGGTCTTTCGGGTTCTTGAGGGTGTTTTTGGGGAGCATACGGTGTGTAGGGGGAATAATTCGGATGTATTGGGTTTTGGGCATCAGTGTCTTGCATGGAGGGTACAAGTATAAGCTGGAGCTCTAAACCAAGGCCCCTAAACCTTGAGCCCCTAACACCTAGACCGACCGGAAGCCTCTAAACTCTAAAAGCCCTAAGACGCCACATCCTGCTTGGAAGCCCTTTTGACTTGGTAGGTAGGTTAATAAGGTGGATCATGCGGATTCTAACAGGATTTCTAGAAAATACGAAGCAGACTTTGTCAACAGAGCTTCTAAGCAAGCCAAGAAGCGTTTAGGGGCTTACAGGAGGGAGGGTTTGGAGCCCCTGAACCTTGCCAAGGGTCTTGGCGTCAGGTTGTGCGCGTCAGCCGGAGTTCCACACTTCTCGCTTCTGAGCTCTGCCGGGTGCTCATGACCAGCCCTGGGAGGATTTAGGGTTTCGGGTTCAGGGTCCCCAAGAAACCCTAAGCCCGCTACATCCTAAATTCTACACACTAAACCCTCCCTCAGCTCACCAAACCATAAACCCGGAACCTCCAGCGTTTCGATTCCGGGTTCCAGGATGCGCGGCTTGAGCCTTAGCATGTGCGATTCGGGCGGGCGGGTTTGTCTGGACCGGAGTCCTGAGCCTCTGCACCCTAAGAGAAGGGTTTTGGGTGGAGGGTTTAGGGTTTAGGGTCCGGGGTTTAGGCACCCAAGTAACCCTGATTTCGGGGGTTGAGGGTTTGGGACTCAGGGTTCTAAACCTCACGATAAGACACCCTATGCCTATACATATAGTCTGTCATCCAAACTTGACATTGAACTGCTAAGCCACACCCGACAACCTCAGGGTTATGCATCGTTTTCTTAGTCGACAACCCCCCAGCTCCCCAACCCAATCCCTACCCCTACACCCCTAAACCCAAGACTCTGAACCCTGAGTCCCCCAACCCAAACCCCAAGCACCTCCACCCAGAACCCGAAAGCCCGGCTAAAGCCCTAAACCATCCTAAACCCGAAAACCCTGAAACCCTAAAACCCCCGCCAACCCCCAAAACCCCGTAAAAACTCTAAAGTCCCAAACCCCAATCACCCTAAACTCCAAACCCCAAAAACCAAGCACCCTAAACCCTAAACCCGAAACGGGCGGAGCCCAGGTCTGGGCCGATCGCAAGAGCCGCCTGAGCTTCGGACGGCTGCAAGGAGAAATGTCGAGTTTAGGGTTTAGGGTTAGGCTTCAGAGGGAGACCTCGGTTGCGGATTCAGGAGGGCTTCCGGATTTCACGGTAGGGTTTAGGGCTTTTTAAATTGTAGGGGTTCAGAGGGTTAAGGGATGGGGGATGCTACGGGGCTCGAAGGGGGTCGAGGGTTTTCAGGGTTCAGGATTCGGTGTTGCGGGCCTCGGTTCGGGGTTTTGATTTTTTGGAGTCTGATGGAGGGATTTGGCTTGTGCAGCGCTGCATCCAGACAGGAAGGGCCTGGGGTTGAGCGGGCTTAGGTGTAAAACTATCGCGTTACGTACTTCACGACCCCCCCCACCCCCCCCCACCCCCCCCACCCCACCCCCCACCCTCTCGGCTTACGCACAGAAGGGGTTGGAAGGGGTTGCTTAGTCCTGACCCCCGTGCCCCAAACGGGACTTGGGCCTTGCATGGACCCCTTGACATGTATGGAGAGGACTGTGAAGTTGCCCGGTGGGTGCCGTTAAGTGTATTAAAGTAGACCGTAGATACTATGATACCTCAGACCTTACACCCTCGCGCTTGCATGTTCCGGCGCGCTTCGCGAATTGGAGCTTTAAGGTTGGCTAGAAGGCTGCCAGCAGAAACTCCCGGGGTCCAGAACCACCCCTGAACCCCCCCCGCAACAACGGCTGCCCGGAAGGAGAAGCCGCAGAGGCAGGGGTGCCCTGGGTCTCCGCTTCTCTCTGCAAAAGGTTCTAACCCTAAAGCCTAGGAAGTTTTTTGGAATCAGGGCTTCGGGCCTAGAACTGGGTACTTTCTGCGAGGGCCTGGCCGCATTTGGGGCTTGGGCGGGAGGGTGTCGGGCTTGGGGGCATTCAGGTCACGTCCAGAACTCTTTCAAAATATGCCCATAAACCCTACAACCCCCCCAGCACATGATCTAAATTCCAATTTAGCCCGTTGTGGTACCCTAAGCTCTAAGACTCTAAGGAATATACCAGAATGCAACCCAAATTTTTCAAACACAACCCCCATCCCCTGCAAAGAGAGCAATGCATCAGGCCGTCGGAGAGATGGAGGGCTTCAAGAGGGTCTCCATCTTCAGACCAGCGGCCGCGCTAGGCGCCAGGAACATTCGGGTGTAGGGTTTATCGGCTTGGACCCTTTCTGCCCTTAAATCCAAAGGCCTGAGCCCTGAAACCCTTGACATACTCAACAAAAGCCCTACGACCGCATCACAATCCTGTAGCGCCCTACACCAGAGCTAAACCCCAAACCCTAAACCCTAGCCCTAAACCCTAAACCCTCAACCCCCCCAAAAGGTTCCGATGGCCAGCTCGAAAGCTCTGGCGGCTCCCTCCTGGCCGGTCCCCCAGAGGTTTCTTGAAGCTCTAAAACCTGAAAAAACAAAAACAACCCAAGCCCTACCTAAGCCCTCAAAATATTTAAAGTAATGGCCCTTTTCTGGGTTTCGGGCTATTGTGTACATACACTGGGGGTCCAGGTAAACCCTAAACCTGAAAAGCCATGTAAAGCCCAAAGCCTCAAAAAGCCCCATAAACCCTATACTACACCGGATTTTGGGATGCGGGCGTTGCCCATGCTGAGGCGAGCGTGGTGTGGCGATCTTTGCCGGTGGCCTCTCAGCTGCTTGGCATCCTCCAAGGGCTTGGAAGTTTAGGGGTTTAGGGCGTTTAGGGCTTACTGGTTTTCACAGGGTTCATAGGGCTCATGGGGTTTTAGGGTGTGGGGTGAGAAGCTTTAGCCGTCTCTCCGCAGGTTCATGCACAACCGCTACCGCCCGATGGCCGGGCACCTACTACTGGTAGGGCTCCAGGATCGGCGGCAGCACCTGAGTTTAACAGCTTGTGAACCTTCAGGCTCTTGAAGACATTGTCTTGGCCATGCGCCTGAATGTGGAGCTCTGTGACGCCTCGGAAAGAGTGGAGCAGTTGGATTACAGGCCCAGGGAGCTTTCACAGTGTTGAGCCGCAGCCTTGGCAGCACTTGAGGGGGGGGCTGGTTCGTATCTCACGACCCCTGCATTGCAGGGACATGATGATGATCATCGGCAAGGACAGCGACCTCTAAGCTGCTCCACGCCCATCCGAACCGCCTGGATGACGTTGGACGTCCTCTGCCTCCGAGGCTCTCAGCACTTCGGAGAATCATGGGTGGTGCCAACAAAACTCCCGCTTGGAGGGCCGGACCCAGCTCCGAAGGTTTCGGCGGCGTGCCGCTGGGCACCGGTCCCCTTCCCCCAGCTCTGCCAGCAGCGGGGGTAAAATGGCCGCTTCAGATTCGCGTGCTCAGATTGCGGTGCCCTCATGGTAGTTTCCATGCAAGGGCTTGTGTGAGGGTTGAGCGCGCGTCAGGTGCGAGACCAGCGGGGAGCTCGGCAGTCCGGGTGGAGGTTCATGAAGGAGCCCTTTACCCTTAGCTCCTTCGTTCCGGTACGTGCTGCTAGCCGTGATCCCCGAACTCTAGCACCACAAACCCGTAATCCCGCAAACCCTATAAAGCCTTGATCTCCAACAGAATGCATGCGCAGACAAAGGCCGCAATCCTCGAAGATCACCGAAAATCCTAAATCCTGAGACCTAAACGCTAAAATGATCCAGCGTGCCGGCCCAAGCCCCGAACGCGCCGGCCCTTCGTAGGGAATTGAAGGAAGTCGTCCCCTTGAAGGGTATATTGGGGGACAGAAGACGCCTAATTCCCTCATTCCCCAACAAGAACCAGTAAGCTAAGTGAATGACCTGGTTTGTGGCCCCAAAAAGTCTAACAACCTAAGCCCGAAACCCTAGACTAAGGCCCTAAAGGTGGGTTCAGGGTCTCCGCTCCAACCCTACGGTTCTACCCATATTCATGAAGTGGGGATGTGCTACCAAGCTGTAGACAACTCGATTCCCCGGCAAAACCTGAATCTTAATTCCGAAACCCTAAACCCCAAAGCCTAAACCCTAAACCCAAACTTGGCTGAGGCGGCGATCAGATTGCCTGGGATTCTGGCTGTCGCAAGGCCAGGGCGCATGGCAAGAGGGGTTTCGGGCCTTAGGGGCTTGAGGGTTTCGGGCGTTAGCAACCCCAGACCCTTGTAAACCCCATAATTGAGGGTTTAGTGCATTGACGGGCTTTCAGGGTTTAGGGTTTGAACGTCGAGGGGTTGGAGGTGGAGTCAGGTCTTGGGCGATTTTGAGGGCCAAGGAATTCGGGGTTTGGGGCTTGCGGTCTGGAGAATTTCAAGGTATGTAGGGTTTACGGTGTAGGGTTAGGGGCTTAGGGTTTGGGGATTTCATTGTTGCCGCACCACATGAGCAGCGGCTGCTATACGACTTGGCTATTCAGGCAATTGTTCGCATGTGGCAGCTTTCAGACCCGAACCCCCGAAAACTCCTAACGCACTGTTGCCATGTGAGCTTGGGCCATGTGGGCGTGGGAGCATTGTGAAGTTGCCAGCTCCACAGCGGGTGCCGTTTCATGCCTGGCCTAGACGCTACATCCTAAACCCTAAGCCCTAAGCCCGGAGCCGCAAGGTTGCGGGGTCTGTGGAGCACGATCCAGGCCTCCGCCTCGGCTTTGTCAAAGGGCTCCTATGGTTCCGAGTTTAGGGTTTCGGGTTTAGGGTTTAAGGGTTTAGTCTAGTAAGGATGAGCGTCAGGGTTGGAGGGAAATAGATTCGATTGTTCTCCTTGGTTCGCCGGCCGGTCGGGTGGCGTAGCCAGCATTTTGAGGGCTTTGGGGCTGAGATGGTCAGTTCTCTCAATTGTCTTCTGGGGTACCCTAGGTGTAAGCCAAACCCTAAACCCTTCCTGCTGAACCATCGGATTCCCATGAACCCCAGCCAGGTCACGTTGCCGGTGGCAAGCGACTCGTCAAGCTGGTGGCGAACCTGCTTAGAGACGACGTCCGAAGCTCGAAAATGGCATCAGCAGACCCCATCGGGGCCCTGTACACCTGGAACCCTGAACCCCAGACCCCTCCAAAACCCCAAGCCCCAAACACGAGCCCCCGTAGCCATTGAACCCCAAGCCTCGACCCTCAAGGCCCTAAAAGCCCCAGAGCACCAACGCCCGCGGTCCCCAGGACATTCAGGCAAAGATGGATGCGGAAGGCTTTGTGAGCATCCAGTGCTTGCTTAAAGCCAAGCAGGAGCCTGAGGACGTCTCCAGGCACTGGTGGAGCTTAGGGGTTTCGGGGTTTGAGGGTTCAGGGTTTAGGGACCCTAAACCCTGACCCCAAAAGCCCCAAAAGGGTTGCTACAGTAGGAAGCCCGAGAAGGCCCATTGTTACTCGAAGTGTCCCTTTGGCCTATTTGGAGGGAAAAGTTGACATGAAGACCTAAACCCGCAACCTTGCGCCGGGTTTGGGGATTTAGGGTTTAGGGTGTGCTGTTTAAGTAAGGTATACTTGGACCCAGCCCTTTCTTAAGTTTTGGTTTCCCTTTTTTTGGCATTTAATCCCAGAAAGGTCACCCTCCTAGGTTACTCTTGGATTGGGTCTAGTTATTGTGGTCCTTAGTATTGCAAGGGGATTCTACTACTTGCGGGTCTGTACCAGGGGTCCACTGTTATCGTAAACCCAGGTGGTTCTTTTGTTGCTTGCAGTATTCTTTGTCGGGGAGGTGACCTCTTTGTTAAGTTTGGTCCGCGGAACTTAACCCGTGGCCAGTTGGTAAGGGCTTAAGGGCCGGAGGGGTTATAGGGTTTAAGGTCTATAGGGTCTAGGGTGCTTGAGGCCTGTGCTCAATGAATACGGAACGGCCAAGAGCATCGTGACTGCGATCGAGGAGCAGGCTTTCCTTCGGCTGAAGCCTCTCAAGTATGGTCCGTCAGTGGTGATTACCCTAAGGTTCACGAGCTTAGTCGGGCTGAATAGGGTTGAATAGGGCTGAATAGAGCTTAACCATCCCTAAGATACGGGGAGCCATGATTTGGAGAAACCTAGACCAAGGGCCACTTAAACACCACACGCCCTTCTGGGAAAGTTTGTAGACACTGCCCTAGCGGTCAGAACATGAAAAGCAGCCAAGGACACGCTTAGATTGACGTTCTGCTTCCCGAAGCAAAGCCTTGCGAAAGCATTCCTGAAAGGCTGTGCATGGGTGTCGGCCAGGCATGCATTCGCACAAGGAACCTGTCGCCATGAACCGTAAACCCTGAACCCTCGGTGACAGCTGTCCAGGCGAGGCACGTGCGACTGGACAAGGCTGGATACTGTGTTCTCCGTTTCTGTTTGCTCTTAGTCGGTATAGACACCATGGCCGAAACCCTGAACCCTAATCCTAAAGGAAGGGGGCTTCTGAGCAAAGGGTTCCTTTTTGTTTAGGGAAAGTTTTGTCTGGGGAATCTTGTTTAGAACGGTATCTTTAATGTACGGTTTGTTCGCATTCCGATTTGCCAGGTCCGGAATCAAAAATGATCCCTCCCGGCCTCCACCCAAGATTCAGCTTCAGGAAGCCAAACGCTAGAACTAAAAGCTCGGTTCTTGAAGAGGAGAAGCAACGTGAGGAGAGAGAGAGAGAGAGAGAGAGAGAGAGAGACAGAGAGACAGAGAGACAGAGAGACAGAGAGACAGAGAGACAGAGAGACAGAGAGACAGAGAGACAGAGAGACAGAGCGACAGAGAGACAGAGAGACAGAGAGACAGAGAGACAGAGAGACAGAGAGACAGAGAGACAGAGAGACAGAGAGACAGAGAGACAGAGAGAGAGAGAGAGCCCGGCCGACTTGGGGTCCAAGCCCAGCCCCCCAACAACCTCCACAAACCCTGCCCCCCCCCCCCCCCCCCCCCCAAAAAAAAAAAAAAAAAAAAAACAAGGGCTTGATTCAGGGGGTCCCGCATCGTAGTTTGCGGGAGGGGGCAACTACTCATAACACCATTCATACGGGGACCTATAGAAAGGCCATACGAAGACGTTGTCGCCACTGTAACACCGTGGCTCAAGAAGCTTTCGACCTTCCCACTGTCACGCTGGTGGTGCGCCTCGCGCCCTTTCAACAGCAGCGTGACCGCAATCTATGAGCTTGACCCCGAACCCTAAACCCCAAACCCTAGACGTAGTTGATCAGGATGTCCAAATAGGGTGTAACAGGGCTTTATTGTAAGCTGTCAAGGCTTTCAACCTCGACCTTCCCTAAGTCCTAAAGCCGACGTAGGGCCCCAAGAACCGCAACTCCAAAAATGTTCCTCCACTCTGCCGACCACGCTCAGGTAAGCATCATGAACAGCACCATGAAGTGCGCGCCTCAAGTACCTTCGGGTTTACGGTTCAGAGTTCAGAGTCTTCAACCCTCAACCCCAAGCTCTAAGCCACTTCGAAGAGCAAGCCCCGACCTTCTTAACCGAATTTGCAGGGGTCGGGGCTAAGGGACTCCAAATAGTGTGGCAGGTTTGCTTGGCCAGGAGTCTTGGGTGTTTAGGGTCTAGACGGGGGGGGGGGGGGCTTGAACCCAACACGCTCGAAACCCTCACCTCCCCTCTCCCCCCCAAAAGCTCAAACCCTGTGCGCTTCAAATCCCTCTAAAGCATGGCTTCGGCCCTAAAACCCGAACGTCCCGAGCCGACTCGCGTTGAGGCAGGGGGGGATTCAGGGTTTACGGGAACAAGGGAAAAGGCTCGTTTGGTGTTTTGATTGGGGCCCTAGCCCAAATCCCTTGCAAGACTCCTTCAGCATGCCCTGTCCTGGGTGACCCTTCGCCAGAACCCCGGCTTGGCAATCCCACGACCCATTCAACTCTTGATTCTCCCCTGTAATACTACCTTAAGGGAACCTCCAACTTGCCCAAACCCTAAACCCCGAACCCCAAAGCACTAAACCCTAAGCTCTTATCTAGTTCCCTTATGGGTGCCCTCACTCCTGCGGTAGGAAAGCGCAGAACTCCGGAAGGTCCATCCTCGTCCACTTCTGTGACCTTCCTATCGTGTCCGATGTCCGCCACCACTGCGAGGAAGGGTTTAGGGTTTTAGGATTAGGCTTGAGGTCTATAGGGTTAGGGTTCAGGACTTAAGGTTTAGGGTGAAGCTCTTCTGCGCTGCATCAGGGTCTGGTGTAGAGTGTTTGGGGGTTTGCGGCGTGGCTACACACTACACCTGCAACATGGGGCCTGGCTTCTCAAGAATCCTGGAGGAGACTCCTCTAAAAGCCGCAGACCTGAAACTTTAAACCCCCACTTTCCAAATCCTCTGGCGCCCTCCTCCCCCGCCACGCTAGGTTTACGGTCGAGGTTCAGGCGCGCAGGGCGGCCAGCTGACGGCATGCGCTTGTTGTTTTTCAGGTTTATGTAGAGTTTTAGGTTGTAGGGGTTCTGGGCTTCAGGGTGTTTTTTGGGTTGAGGGGTTTAGAGCTTCTGGGTTTCAGGGTTTTTGTTGGGCCCTAAACCCGAAAGACTGAGTCAGGCAGCCCTTGGTCTTGAAACTTTTCGGGGCAAGCCCCCAGCCCCTATGTTTTTAAAACATCGCGGAAGCATTGCCTTATTGGCGGGGTGTGCGCTTGGTTTTTGGGGTTTCCGGGGTTTCTGGGACCACCTTATGGGTTTTGGGTCCAGGGGCTTACGTCATGCGCTCTAGGGTTTAGGGTTTCGGGTTTGCTTCATGGCTTGTATGCTAACACAAAGAGCCCACCATTAGCCCCGCCGTTGACATTAAAAGCCTTCTCAGGGTTCCCTCCTCTTGGCTGACAGGCATTCCAAGAAGCGCTCTACAGAAGAGTTTCTTGGTTTGCGTTCCCTAAAGCAAGCTGGCCCTCAGCCCTATAACCTCCAAACCAGTGGCCTCAGGAACCCTGAGCCCTAAGCCCAAACCCTGCACCCTAAGCCCTCTTGAGCTCATGCCAGGTAGCTCAGGTGGTGTTGGTGGTGGTTGTGGTTGCCGGTAATCCGCTACCGCGCCTGGGCTGCGTTCACGAGGGCTCAGAGGTTGGCGATTGATCACCACGCGAAAAGATGTTCCTCACAGTAGCGCCTCAACCATAAACCCTACATACCATGCATACAGTGCATTGTCGAGTTTAGGGTACCAAAAACCCTAAACCCCGGACGCCCAGATTGGTTTTTTTTCAAAACGGGGGACTGTGGGCGTGCACTTTCTCTGCCTTTTGTCGCTGTTGAAGAACCAAAAAAACCCAAGTAACAACAATATTTCTAGACTCTCCAGTCCCACGGATAACAAGAAAACTAAAGAAGAACAATATTTCATGACTCTCCACCAAAACCGTACGGAAAATCCGTACCGAAAATCAAAAAAACCAAAAAAAACAAAAGAACCAAAAAAACCAAAAAAACCAAAAGAACCAAAAAACCAAAAAAAACAATATTTCAGGACTCTTCCAGCAGATGGCCTAATTTCGAAGAGTCCCTGAAAATTGTTTTTTTTGGTTTTTTTGGTTTTTGTTGGGTTTTTTGGTTTTCCGTACAGATTTGGTGGAAAGTCCTGAAATATTGTCGTTTCTTGGTTTTCCGTGAGAATATTGTGGAGAATCCTGAAATATATTTGTTTGGCTTTCATGTTCTTTTTGCTAATTTTGGCTTTTTGTGTGTTTTTGTGCGTTTGTGGCTCTTTTGTGCTTTTCCGTACTGCCTGAGCCCCCCTTCCCTCTAAGAAAATTGTGCTTTTCTACGCTTTTCTTTGCAAATTGTACTTTTCTGTGCATCGTACACTTAAAGTGTACTGTATTTAATGGGTACATGAATAATTTAGTTTCATATTCAAGTAGCATGTAAAGAGCGTTTGAGCATTCTGCCCCCATGCTCAGTACTATAGCCTTTACTGGGTGGATGGTATGGTTCTTAGGAATTTGTGCTTTTCAAGGCTTTTCTATGTAAATTGTACTTGTCTAAGCGAATAGTATATGAATGGTATTTCATTCGTACGTAATTGAATTAGTTTTCTGTAGTCAAGTACCATTTACTGAGCATTATGTCATATTCTGTGTAAATTTAATAAATCTTGTACTCACCCTATAATTGAATATTCACTGACTGCTAGATTGGTCGAATCAACATGTAATGAGTACTGCATGGTTGAGCAATATTTTGCCTAGTAGAAGCAATATTTGTCTGGAAACAGGTTTGTTGCCTAGAGTTATTTGCTCAAACAGTTGCTTTACTTATTTAGAGAGACTTTAAAACCCTCAAATCCAAACTTCACCAGGGTTTCTCCTGAAAAGCTTGCATTTCGGGATGTTTTTTGCGTTTGTGAATTTACTTGTGCTATGACCTTTGTGAGGCAACAACTACTTTACTATGAGAATTGTGTCTTTTAAAGCCTGTCTCTTTTCAGGCATCGCGCATCAGTAGTCTTTAACTAGTACTTCAGTAGCATTGGTTTCATTTTTATGAAACTCAAGGTGTCTAGTGCGTACTTGAGTTGTACAAAAAACAACCTTCTAAGTTGAATTCATTTAGTCAATATTCAGCTATATACTAAGTGCTGCAGTAGTTAAACTCGCATAGGGCGAATGCTTTGTATAATATACATTCATGCATAAAAACAAAGTACTTCAGCGGACTTTCCGCATGGCATTTGATGAATACTTTGCCTTGCGAAACTACAACTTATCCAATAAAACAACATTCTTTGCCATTCGAAAGAACAAGTTGCCAAAATACATTAACACATACAAACTACAAAGCCAGCATTGTCCTGTCAAGATTCAAAACATGGAGTAGCCCAATGCTGGCTTATCGGAGCCTGTGAGGCGGGTGTCCCCATTGTCCCAATAGCTGTCCTTCATTTCCCGGTGTTCAAATATGCGATTTTAGGATTCGTTGTTCTGACGATACTAAGAAAAGCTGAAGCAAGGGTAGGTCGTTGGGAGGGGACCGACGCCGTTCCGACGATCGCACTTGATGGGTCGTGTCTCTGGTCCTTTGAGTTTTTGACCTGCTACTTGACCAACAGCCTCATCGAAGTGAGTTCTCCGTCTTGTCCTCCTAGTTCACGAACTAAGCCAGGTATAGACTCACCTGGATATCTTGCCATAGCCTAACACACTGGGATACTCACTTAATCTGAAAAGCTGTTTCCGTAGTAGCACTTCATGCATAGCATGTTCTCGCACAAATAATGAAAAGGCAATTTCATAATTAAGATGAGAGAGATCATCACCTGAAGATTGAACGGTAGTTATCAAGTACGAGAGAGTAAAAAACACAAAAAAAGTGCACGCCCACAGTCCCCCGGACTCCAAAACGGGGGACTGTGGGCGT